CAGACATGATGCCAAACATGATGCGTGTGCCACGAGTTTTATGAGCTATGATTCAGTCGACAACACACTCACAAAGCTGGTTGTTTGTTTAGACCTCTAATTTTCAGGCTTTTAACGAGGACGATGCACCATAACGGATCACGTCTCCCTATTTGTTTTAGAATCAGGCATACATTTATATTTGTCCATTTACTGTCTACTTAGGGACAGAGGCTTACGTGTCCCTAAAGATCGGCTATGGTCGAGAACGGATTTAGCGTCAGCTGTCCCAGCGTCCCAGCTAGAGACCCGCTGGAGTGTGAGCTGTCCAAAGGTTCAGATGAAAGACTGAAAGGGACGGAGCTTCAGCTGTTCCACGGTGCTGGCTAAAGACCAGGGAGGACGCCGCCTTACGGAACCAGAGTCCAGGCTTACGGCTGGAAGCGCTGACCCTTTGCTGTCAGAAAGGTACGGCAACAAAGCTTAGACACCCCAAACACCAGGTGATGGACAACGGGGGCTGAGCCTTACCTGTCTCACAATCTAAAGACAATGGCGGCCGAGCAATTAAGACAGCATCATTGTCCAAAAAGCCAGGCTCACACTGGGGGGGGCTGGTCCTCCGCCGTCAAAGTCCATTAAATATCCCACAGTCCAGGCTTAGGATGAGGGAGGCCGAGGCTTAACCGTCAATTCATTTCTCATGCTTATGTTTAATTCATCTGATGTCTGTTATAAGAGGGCGGTTTTATTTAATAAAAACAAGTTCTGAAATGTATAGTGGCACTTTTGTCTCAAATACTAATACAAAGTCAGGTCACATTGAAATAAACAACAGATAAAAATAAATGCAGCCATGTCTGAATATCATAATATGTATTCAATACATTGATTAAAATTGACCGATTCACTTGTATTCAATTTAACAATTACTAAAACAAAACAATTAAATTTAACAACTAAAAATGTTAAAAATGTAATCTAGTTTAAAGTTCACACATTAGTAATCAAAGTAATATTAAAACATTTGTTTCACCCAAACCGCACTCGGCATGATTCCAGTTTTTCTACAGCATCAAATTCAGCTCAAATTCAAGTAGAATTGTTTTTTTGGGCTGTTTGAAAGACAGACGTGGAGAGTTAAGTCCTAAATCACAAGAGATCCCAAGCTTATATATTGCCAGTTTGAACTGGATGCACAAAGTCGTAGTTGGGTGTAAGGATGCAAGTTGAGCTCATACCAAAATGACTCCCATCGATCAAATTACAACAAAAACATAGCAAAAGTAGTCTAGAAAACAATCATCATTTCCCCCTTGGCACTATCAGAATAAAAGTGTCACAGGATCATCTTTCAAACAGCTGCTCCAGGTCCCTGCGCATAAACACCAAACCACCATTTAAACCAGCAGCAAGCTCCTTTACCAAACAGCTAAAGCCTCCAACCAGCAGACAGGAAACAACGAACAAGCCTCACAGCACCAAACGCACCAGGATCAGAGCGAGGGAGAGACGGAGAGAGACAAAAACCAACCAGAGAGACATAAAAAGTAAGTCAAGACGTTGCTCCTCTGTGTGCTGTAACAAGCACTGGTGGTTCAAACAAGCCCTGCGAAGACAGAAACACACACGTTAACGCGCTGGTGGACCATCACCTTCACACAAACTCCGACACGAGGAAACGGCACATACAATGAGGTCACAGCAGATGTTGGGGAAACACTGAGACAGAGTTAAAATTTACATGAGACACTCCAGTGGCGAAGTACGTAGACATACTGTAGAGTGACATGCTGAAGTACTTCAAGACTAAGAGGCACTGAGTTAATAGAGATGAAGATAAAGACACTCTTGGACATACAGTACCAGCCAAAAGTGTCCAAACCAAGCTATGTTAAAGTGAAAATCATGGCAGTAAATTGAGAAACTCTAAGATAATATATATATATATATACATATATATATATATATTATATATTGAGACTTTAAAATACACTACGTTATCCTGTTAACTCATTAAAACACAAAGAAACCCTTTAAACCTTGAAATCTCTCCCAGAATGCATTTCATTGCAGGATGCGACTGTGGGTTGAGGTACACAAGATAAATTGGCACGGCATGGCATTAATTGGGACACTCTGAAATCCACTGAACAGGTGTTTGTGTAGTGACCCAGTTAAAAGCTGTGTGAGGGGTGAGACCCCTCTGACAGCCTGCAGGCCGCCTGCGCCTCAAGGAAAGGATGCAGAACAACACAGCGACAGCACTCCGACTAATCCGCACTTGCTATACGAGTACTTATGGCGACGGGGGCGTTAAATGATGTTCAGTGGGAGACGATGGGCCTTTACTTATTGGGATCTCTTTGTGTGTTATTTTTGGTTACACGCTATAATTTCTCTAGAATATTTGGTCTTCAGTAGTTCTCACTACTGCATGTTGTACATCCCTGAACAAAGCGGTGCGCAGTGAGATGACGTAGTAGTCCTTTCAAGCTCCACCCACAGGAAGTCCTTGGGGATGGATGATTAGCGATTGCAGACTGATCAGACCGATCGACACTCGATGAGGTAGATTTTAAAGGCCATCGGAATCGGCCAACAAAGCAGCAGAACCGGGACCCCGGTGACGGCTTGAAGACGGTGTAGTTCAGGGCCCATCCGAGCAAAACGGATTCATTTTTAAGAGCTCAAAGACAAAATAGTGATATTTGACAGAGTAGCTGAATCCGGTCAAAACGTAGTACAGAGACTGTGCAGGGACCCCAAACTGAAAGTCCTTGCGGCTTTAGCTAGGACAGGACAATCGAGAGTGTTCTAAACCGACGAAAGGCCCTCAGGAGACGAACCCTAAATACAGGAGCAGAGCAAAATACCAAAATGGAGGCCCAGCCGTCAAAACATCAGGAATGAGCAAACAATCAGATCACCTCTGGTTGGGTAAGCCCCTATTTATGAAATAAATCCTTTATGAGGCTCGCCTACACTTTCCAGGTGCCTGAATTTGTTAAACGTGTAATCTGCCAGCTGCAGAGTAGACTGAGAAGGCCGAGTTGGAGCCTCCAAATAATTGGCTTTTCTAGTAGGTTTGGAGGAAGAACAAAACGGATTCTCGGATTATTCAATAGAAAATACATCATTTAATATTTAATGTTAATGTGATTTATTAAATGTGACCAGTTCTACAAAATGCGCACTAGGTGAGAAAAGCACACGGGAAATCCCCCTCCAGACAGGAAGGAGAGAGAAAGGAAATGCATTAAAAAAGTGCATCATGCACATAAAGAGAAACTACAGAATATTTAGAGGACGGTAACAGGACTCTACCTTCAATCGCAGAGTACATGTTGTAAGTAAGAGAATGAGGCAAAGAATGGAATTTATACGCAACTAAAAACCCGACTAACTGCACCACTTCAAGAACCAGTGTTGACAAACCATTGCCAGTATGATTCGTATAAAGCCAGTACTAGGGACACTTCACAGACTGGGGAAATTAGCAACTGGCTTCATAGAAGGTTTTAATAACCCCAAAGTTATACATAATGCCAGTAAAAATGCCAGTGTTCATGTTTAAGCTGCTGCACAGTTATACATAATGCATAAAGGTGTTTTGCTGATTTGTGCAGAAATGCGTTGAACAAATCGCGATGGGCTGTGATTGGCTGTAAGCAGACCAATCAGAGAACACAGCACAAGGGCTGGAGGCATTGGGTTCCTTTAGTGTCCCACCAGTCAGCCATCAGGGAAGTACACTTTCAAAAACATGGACGAAGAGTTTTCCAATCGACAGTCGTTGAGTCATTACATGAATCATGTGTGGCTGCTACGCTCCGGCTCATAGATCACATACGAGTGAGCTCGGAAAGAACAAATGAGAACCCATTGCACACTTGAGCAGTGGCAGCTTAGCGGTTTTCATTGGTTTTGAATACCTAAAGCAATTTGTCATTTGTATGGACTAAAACCAAGTAGATCACTGTGATTATTGACAGCGAGCGACTTGCTCTGCCTCTGAATGTCTTTTAACAAGGCTTCTTCAGCCCAACTGTCTCTTCTAATCATTCTCTGGAACATTAGTGCTCATCTTTGCCTCCCAGGGGAGGGACGAGAGGTTCCCCGACTAGAGGTGTGAAGACAGGAGCCGCTGGTTCAGTTAAGAACACTGTGAGGCAGACTCATAATGCAGAGCTAATCGTCCATCAAATATACCGAGAATTAGTTTAATTTATTTAAATGCAGTGGAAAAACATCACTCAATTGACTTTTGGTATCTTGTTAATAAAGGAAAAACATTAAACAAATTACTATCAGAACTTATAAAGAGCAGAAAATGAATCAGACTGGATTATGACAGATACATCAAACTATTATTGGTTATAGGTAATTTGATTGAGTGTGTGTGTGTGTGTGTGTGTGTGTGTGTGTCGGCAGTAGGTTTCTAACTAATGATTTTTTTTTTTCAAAACCTAGCCGGTAACCTCCATTAACCTGACATTAACTAACAAATTCAGGGGAGAGGCTGATCATTCATCATCATAAACATCCCAGCGATGACAAGCGAGCGGACGTGCCCGTGTTCTAACAGTCTGCAGCGCTGCGTATATTGTGTACTGCATTTTGTATATATGTTGAGATTGCACTGGTTTTAGTTTGAGTCGGATTGTTGCTTATTGATTCTCCCTCTCTTATTCCACAACACTGACCTTTGGTTGAGATATTCTGATCCGACACACTGTGCTGGATGGACGAACGGACAGAAAATATGTGATTCACAATCAATATTAGATTTGTAACCGTGCGAATATGAGCCACGGGATGAAATAAACAACTCTAGCTGACATGAACCAAAGGGTGGCTCCTGGGGGTCGTGTGTGGACTGGCGCCACCGGGTCCTTTTCCTCGGAGAGCCTTGCCCTCGTGTTCATGGGCGTGCTCTAGTTGGAACTCCTGATTCTCAGGTGGGGTTATTGCACACTAAGAGCACATATTCATCCCACAAAATGTGCGTGTGTACTGACCTCTGGCCATCTTCAGGTCCGAATTCATCCCTTGTTCTGATTGGCCGGGCGGCCTGTATGGTGGAGGTTGTCTCGGAGGGGGGGCGGCACCCTGTGTCTGCAGAGGAGGAAATAGATCATCTTGGACACTTGGTCTGAGTCCCAACTATGGGATGGCAAATATACAGCGTGGGAGCTGGGAGTGCATTGTGCCGAGGCTGTGCTGCCCCCTGCTGGGACGGACTGCACAGTCTGTTAGAGGGACCAGAGTCAGCGAAACAACGTCACACAGCTTTGTGGATGGTCCAAAGACGAGGACGGAAGAGACAGATGAGAGAAAATACTGTGACATTCACCCACAGAGCTCATGGTGTTAATTATTCAACTGCAAGTGTTGGTTAGTTTACTCTAAAAAAGAAACAAAGACACCAACTAGACTTTATTAGGTGCAACCGAGCAAAAGCAATAGTCCCTGTTCTTACCGGAGACTCTGTCCTCTGTGCTTTGTGTTTATTGTAGCTGGAGGCGGTAAGAGACACAGGCTGAAACACACACACATTGGGAAACTTGAGTGTGCACCACGGTATGTGTGTGTAAACTCACTGTGTGTGTGTGCACGTACACACACACACACACACACACACACACACACACACACAAAATTAAAGGAACACTTTGAAAACACATCAGAAAAACAATGATGGATGTCTACACTGATACGGACAGTTTAATGCCACATCTTTTGATGGAAAGTTTCAGCCTACAGAGGGTTTGATTTTATAGACACTGAAATGATGAGGCAGGCTAGTTTGGATTTTGCCAAAATCAAATTTCTGCAACTCAAAACGCTTCTCAATATCTTGCGTGGCTTTCATCCTGATACCTCAGTCAGACTGCCGTTCTCCAGCCTGTAGAGGTCTGTGCGTCACTCCAAGAATACGCCCAACCATCACTGACCCACCACCAAACCGCTCATGCCGAACCACGTCCCGGGCAGCATAGCGTTCTTCTCCTCTCACGTCTGCCACAGGCGCTCATCTGTGAAACGCACAGGGCGCCAGTGGTGGACAGTTGTGGTGTGCTGTAGCGAATGCCACTGGAGCTCCACGGTGCTGCACAGGGCCCACGGCAGGACGTCGTGTCCTGAGGCCATCTTGGATGACCCCGTTAGGGACCCCCTCACCCCGTACTCCCGCTGCACCTCCCACAGTATCTCTCTGGGGACCCAGTCATGCACCTTCTTCAGGGTCCACAAAACACATGTAGACCGGGATGGAGCATACTCCCAGGGCCGCCTCTAGATCCCTAACAAGAGTGAGGAGCTGGTCCGTCGTTCCACGACCAGGACAAAATCTGCATCCCCTTCGATCCGTGGTTCGACTATCGGCCGATCGCTCCTTTCTAGCACTGCTGAGTAGACTGAGTATCACACTACCGGCGAGGCCGAGTAGTGTGATACCCCTGTAATGGGTACACACTCTCTGGTCCCCCTTTTTGGAAGATAGGAACCACCACCCAGATCAGCCTCTCCTTCCAAACTTGGAAGAGTTTCCAAGAGAGTTCTCCAAAAGCCATTGCCTGGCCCCGGAGCCTTGGCACTGCGGAGTGGTTTGACTATCACCAGGAAAATTCAGCCTTCGGCTCCGCCTCCAACAAAGAGGCCAAAGTAGTTGAACTCAGGAGTTTGTTAAAGTGCTCCCTCTACCGCCAAGTAACCCCTCGGCTGCAGTTAGCAAGACGCTGTATAGTTGTTAAAATTTGCACCCTCACATGTTTTTACTTTGTGTTGTCCTTTTTTATATTTTCTTATTTGGTTGAAGTAACTGTGTGGAGAGTAAACAGAGTGAACAGAATGTGGAGAGTAAATTTTATGTACAGTATGCGGAGGCATATATGGCCAATAAAGCTTATTCTGATTAGTCTTTCTGTATTATACCTCTAGTCACATGTGTAACTGTGTGTGTGTGTGTGTGTGTGTGTGTGTGTGTGTGTGCGCGTCTTAGTACCCGTGGAGTCGCCGACAGGCTCTGGACGATGAAGACGACGGGGCTCGGGGCCAATTTGATGGCATTGACCGCGTCCTCGTGACTGGCCAGTCGCAGGTCAACGCCTGACACCTGCACACACCGGAAGGTGGCGTTAACGTGTCTGGGTTCATATCTCAACATTGTCTGATGTTTATCTGGGGGGGGTTAAGCCTGGGGACCCTGGTACCGCACCCGGCCCTACCTCCAGGATCTTGTCTCCGGTCTTCAGGCACTGAGTTTTGGCAGCGGGGCTTCCCTTTAAAACCTGCTTGATGAAGATTCCCTTCAGCTCCTCTCCGTTCCTCAGACGCTTGATGACATGACGACCTCCCACGATGCTCAGACCCAAAGACTGGCCTTCCTCGGGCCACACCTCCACCCTGCAGGGGCAGAAGAAACTCGTCATTGACCCAAAATACCAAGAACTAAAAAAAAGAAAAAAACCTTTGTGGCACGAGAGGGTATTAAGTGCTCATTACAAAGATAGAAACAGGCACAGCAACACGCTGAAGACGATACCAGTATGAACCAATATACAATGACACATGTAACCAGAAGAGGGCGACACAGGACTGTAAAACCACCAGGAGGAGGTGAGAGGGGGAGTAACAAGGAAGAGGAGGTGATGCGCAAAAAGTTCACAGGCCGAGACAGAGCAGATGAAGAGGAGGAGACAAAAGGAGGTGGTGGTGGTTGTTGTTAAGGGGTCTAACAGAGGGACCAAGTGTAAACAACGTGATCATGACAGACTCAAACCCGGGGGTGTCAGTGGGATTATGAGAATCTACAAATAACGACTCAAGAAAAAAACTATAGGGGTTCTTGAAGAGAGACTGAGAAACATTGGGATTTTTTGCACAATGATGAACTAAGATTATCGTGGTTTGCTTGTGCACCGTAAGGATGAACTGTAAATGATGTTTTATTGCACGTTACCTGCGGGGGGCCCCCCAGTGACTGAAGGCCGGCGTCTCCTCCCCCTCGCCCTCCTCTCTTTCAGGAAGATCTCTGAGGACACACACACAGTTAGCTACAGGGTTTTCAGTAACTGGACTCTACAGGTGAAGCAAGGATCCTCACCCATGACCTCCTCTGATTGGTAGAGAGGCCCCTCCCTGGCTCCGCCTCTTTCGTCTCCCTGTGTCAATCGTCCTGACGGATCTCCGAGGGGGGAGAGAGAGAGCATTAAACATTTGTCCCTTGTTGACTTCTCCACGGTGTAATTTCGAAGTCTTCTAATCAGTTATTGTGCCGCTGACTTGGGAGCACATAGAGCGTGATGAACCGACAAGATGGGAAATAGAATTAGTAAAAGTAGCTTTGTCTTAATTAAAATCATGCTGTGAAGCCAATGATTAATACAGCTGGTAGAGATCGCAAAGCATCTGATCTGTCATGCTGAATTTTATGTGACGGGTCTAAAGTGATGCACATCAAATAGCGCATCTTGCAATCAGATAGATCTGAGCAGCCATAATAATATCGTAACACTAATATGAATGAACCATCAAATTTGACATTTAATGCAATATTGTATCCACTGTTGGGATCAAATTGTATCTCACAATATCATGACACACAATGACTTTACCGATAATAAACAAACTCAAAATTCTAATCAAAGATTACAGTTACACTGTAACTACACTACTTTAAATCACCACTTGGGTCAATGTGATTTACGTATGTGTACAAATGGAAATGTGACATCGTAAATTGAAAATAGGCTTCTTCACGTCTATTGATCTGGCAGAAAACCAATCTAATGAGAAAGCATACATCGAGATACAAGGTTTTGGCCTTATCCCGTAGCTCTGCTTAAAATGAAACAATAAAGACAGGAGGAGGTGAAGGAGAGACAGCAGGGGGGACGGGACAGAGGAGGACAAAGAGGACGGGGTGCAGTTGATGCTCACTCTGTGTCGGTGTCTGTTAGCGTGAGTTCAGAATCAGCTTCACTGTCCCTGGAGCCTGAAAACACAAACACACACACACACACACAGTGTGTTTGTTTAGAGTCAAATCAGCAGGTTGTCAGAAACAAACCCCGTTACTCTCTCCAGTCATGTTGCAGCCATATCATTAAAACCTGCAGGATGGACCATGGCTGCTCCTTTCGACACACACCTGCAGCTCTGCGGCGGGTCGCACACCCTCACCACAAATCAGACGTGTAACACAAATGCAAGTGACTCTGGACTTGTTATCTAATGATTCAGGGTGACGGCTGGCCAAAGATGACACTCCTGTCACGATCCGAAGACGTGTGTGGGCTCTACACAACATGCTCTCTTAATCTGTGCACAAAAATAACAAAACCTTGCCAGAACGCTTAAGGTTATGTATTCGGTTCGACGAGTCTCCCCCGAGTTAACTCCATGCAGCTTTACTGCAGTATTAGTTGTATATTTTTATCAAATCTATGTTCTTTGGTTTGGATTTTTAAATGGTTGTCTATGCAGGTGTGCTGTTGGTATCTGATGTATCTGAATTAAAAAACAATGCAAAGAATTCATCTTCGTTCAGGTGCTGTTGGCCTTCTGTAACAAACACATCTTTGTGTAGGATTTGGGTTTTTTTAAACGTAGAATTGTGCTCCTCACCAATGATCAGGTTCTCTATGGACATGATGCTTTCATGGTCTGATCTCTGCTCCTCTTCCTCTTCGCTCTTGCTGAGCTCCTCCTCCTTCTCTTTGCTCCAAGTCTGAAAACAAACAAACAATTGATTACAAAGTAGCCTCTGTTTCCACATGCTAACTAGTTCCAGTTGCTTAAAACAGCTGAGACACAGAATTCACAAGTGCACTTTATAACTATTTAGAAGTTTGTAATGTTTTTAGACTTCGATGTAGCTTTCTGGTGGCAAATAACCCCGAACATTCCCATTTGTCTTTCTCCCATCATGCAACTTTTTTTTTTCCGCCTCCGTTTGGCTTCAAAGATAGGCGTGCATCACAGTTCCCAATGTGCATTAAACATAATCACGGTGCATCATGGATCCAAACCCTCACCTCCTCTGCTCCACTGGACCGGCTGGAGGTGAGCTTCCACTCCTCCCAAGAAGGGGGTGGTCTCCTGGAGAGGGAGCCCACACTCTCCTCCACTTCTCCCTCCTCCTTCCTTTCCTTCAAATCCTCATCCACGGCCATCTCCCTGCCCTCCTCCACAGGCAGGAGGTTGGAGGTCAAAGAGAAGGAGGCGTAGCGAGGCAGACCTCCGTCCAGGATGAGCTCTGGCTCCTCCTCTTCCCCTTCCTCCTCTTGACGGAGGTCTTCTGGCAGAATGGAGCCATCGCCGAAACCCTGTAAAAAAAAAATCCATATGGTCAAAGGTCGCAGCAGAAGGATGGTGGCTTAAAAATGTTTGAGCTTGAGGTCACCTGGAGGGCAAGATACATCTTCAAAAACCTTTACCCACAAAGCTGTTCAATGGAAGCCAATGAATCCCGACACTCCGCTCTCACCCGTTTGTTGCTGTTCTACTTTGTACTTTGAGAGGAGAAACAAACACCAGATCGTTCCTCAGCCCACTGGATCCTGTATAGTTCTAGATTTCGTATATCGAGGCCAACCAGGATGTCGGCTTAAATGAAAGGACTCCCTGAAGGAGTCCGACTGTAGGACCCAGCAGCCTGCAGCAGTCTCCTCAGTGAAGGGACTGAAGAGGGGGGGGGGGGAACGCAGCCTGACACTAAATCTAAAACTCGACTTACTTTGAACATTAGCCTTCATCTCCGAACACATAAAGGTTTTCTCCAACTCCCCAAAGAGCCGTGCTCAGCAGATACTGAGGGGATATCCTGTTCTTAACATTACGGAGCAGACATTAGCCCGCACGCCGGGAAATATTAATGACAACACTTAGGCTAATTTCCATCGACGAGGCCTCATCTTCAAGGACTCTGCTCCTCTTCTTTTAATTTGGGCCTGGGAAGCCGGCCCATCACGGCCGCATAATGGAGGTGAGGAGCAGGCGGCGGCGGAGCGCTCATAACGCTAACAGGATGTTCTGCAGACTGATGTGTATTGGCCGTGACTGCCTGGCCTCATCTTCATAAGATTAAAAGATGTTATCCTTTAATATCTCGGCCATTAGACGATGAGGACAGTGGCGATGACGAGTCTGTGGCTTCAGACTCTCTGCCGCCCTCCGTGCCGCTGCATGCTGGGATGTGGACCAGCGGTACCAGTATTACAGCAGGCACCGCCTTCTTCTCAACCTCGGGATGTTGATCAGAATTGGTAATTAGCTCTTTGGCCCGTTTGGGATTTACACCCGATCATCCCAATATCCACGTGGCTTAGATCTGGAAAAACGTCCATAAATATCGCATCTGGAGTAAATAGAATCTGTACTAAAGCCACAACTAAACACGTATTGTGACTATTTAACGTGTCAGGGAAACACTCAGAACATACAGTGCATCCGGAAAGTGTTCAGCGCTTCACTTTTTCCACATTTCGTTAGGTCGCAGCCTTATTGCAATATTGACTTAGTTCATATTTTTCCTCAACATTTTACACACAACTTGATTGGAGTTCAAGCTGCTATATCCCACTGATTGGACATACTTGTCTCAGGTCCCAAGGAATTGTCTGTGGAGCTCAGAGACAGAATTGTATTGAGGCACGGATCTGAAGGAGGCTACAGAAACATGTCCATCATCCAGAAATGAAAGGAGTTTAGAACCTCTGGGACTCTTCCTAGAGTTGGCCGCCCAGCATCACCAAGCGGTCGGGGGGGGAGAGGTGACCAAGCGTTGCTCTATGAGGAGAGGAGAACCTTCCAGAAGGACGACCATCTCTGCAGCCCTCCACAGATCAGGCCTGTGTGGTGGAAGGGCCAGACGGAAGCCACTCATCAGTAAAAAGCACCTGAAGGACTCTCAGACCGTTAGAAACTTCATTCTCTGGCGTGATGAAAAAAAAGATTGAAGTCTTTGGCCTGAATGCCAAGTGCCATGTCTGGAGGAAACTGCTCATCAGCGGGCCCATGCCGTGCCTACAGTGAAGCATGGTGGCACCATCGTGCTGTGGAATGTTCCTCAGCGGGAGGAACTGGGAGACTAGTCAGGATGGAGGGAAAGATGAATGCAGCCATGTAGAAACATCCTGGATGGAAAGCTGCTGCAGAGCGCTCTGGACCTCAGACTGGGTTCATCAACCTTTTTCCACATTATAGGGAAAAAAAGTGATTTAATCCATCTTGGAATAAGGCTGTAACATAACAAAATGTGGAAAAATAGAAGCGTTGTGAATACTTTCTGGATCAGTTTTGAGATTGTTTGTCCAACCAACAGTCCCTAATTCAACGGATTGACCCTCTAGAGAGAAGGTTTTATTCCAGTGTAAACCTTGAAGCGACAAACGCTCAGCAATGGATGACATGAAATAAAATAAATAGTCAAATATCCTAAATAAATACAGGCTGAAAGATGAGGGCTAGAATGACCGTCTACGCCAACCAGTCATGTTGCAGTTTACCTCAATATCCATTTACAAAATGTAGTTAATTCATGTTTTTATATTACATTACAGGTCGTTTATCCAAAGCGACTTACATTTTTAACCCATGGCTTTTACATTTTTGCCCGGGGAGCAATTAGGGGTTATGTGTCTTGCTCAGGGACACTTGGACATGGGACATGGAGCAGCCGGGGATCGAACCACCAAACTCGCGCTTCCCCCTGCGCCACGTGGACCTATATTATTTTTGTTAACATATTTGTTCGCGATGCTTCTCAATTAGTTTTTTTTCCTGCGTGGCATTTGACCGCCATGCTCTAATGAGTCCATCCATTTCTTTTGGAAGTTTGTGCCCTTTTTGAAAATGTTCCCTCGAAGGCACGAGAATGCCTTGAATGACGACCTTGACCTTTGATTACCAAATGAGTTCACTCTGGAGTCACAGTGCTTGTTTACGGCCGCTCGGAAGCTCCTTCACAACAACCAGAGCGAGCGTTGATGGTTGTTCTTCCTGTTTGAGCGGTGGCTCGATGCGGCTCTCTGTCAGCACAGAGATGATCAGACTAATGGAACTACGGCAGCGGCAGTTTCTACATATGACCTCTGAAAGTTAACGAGGTGTGGACGTGTAACGGGGGTCTCTCTCTGGTCAGCGGGCTGGCGTGAAGTGACAGCGCCGACCCGGCTGCCTTTATGGAGGCACATCAGAGACCCGTGGGCTGTGAAAAAGCCTCTTCAGTCAAATGGGCTGCATATAAAGCAGGGAATAAAACACTGCACAGAGGACGGAGACAGCAGACACTGCACGAGGACAGAAACAGATAAAGTACAGCAGCAGCTGTGGGACACAACAGAGCAGCAAGTAGAACACAAGAGTACACAGCAGAGTACTGTAGATAGAGCACACAGAAGATTGAAATACAGTGAAGTGGTGTGTTACATTTTATATATATATATATATATATATATATATATATATATATGGGGTCGTCGTGGCGCAGGGGTTAGAGAAGGTGTGCTGGGAAGCACAAGGCTGTTGGTTCGATTCCAGGCTGCCCCATGTTCCACGTCGAAGTGTCCCTGAGCAAGACACCTAATACCTAACCCCTAATTGCTCCCCAGGCAAAAATGTGAAAAAGCCATGGGTTTAAAGTGTAATGTAACTGTAATGTAAATGTAAGTCGCTTTGGATAAAAGCGTCTGCTAAATGACCTGTAATGTAATATATATATATATATATATATATACACACACACAAATGTAAGTGCACATACAAATTCCTAAGAAAACAAGATAATAATTGTGCATTCAAATGTATGCCACCCAAGATTTAAATCGCCTCAGGATGAAGATCTTAAGACTTACTGGTTCTGAATAATTGAACCGAATGAATAAATTCTCTCTGCAAACACTTCTTTAGATTTCATGGATAAACTAAAGCCATTGTGCCCCAATGAATCCACGTTTGTGCAGGAAGAGATGCTCATGATAGGCTATTTTTAATAGAGACATACATGCAGTGTAGAACAGTGTGGCTTTGCCCAACACCAGAGCTTCGTCCTCTACTCAACACTACTGCAGTAGTTGTGCCTGAGAGTCCTGCAGTACTTGAGGACCAAAGTGTCCTCAGAGACCCCCCCCCCCCCACACACACACACACACCATCACCCCACTTAAGAGAGAGACGCTGCTGGTTGAGCTGATAGAGCACTTTATACCATCCAGCCATCCTGCTGAGTCAGCAGCTTCGCGGAGACGGAGAGGAAAGATTAAGGGGAGGGGGGAGAAAGAAAGAGGGTGAGGGAAGGTGAAAGAAGGGAGGAGATGAAAGAGAGGGGGAGACTATGGAGCAAAGAAAGAGGAGGAAAGACTGCGGAGGTGAGATGCGATATGAAAGGAGACAGAAAGAGAAGGTAACTTCATAGTCCAAAGAGCCGATGGAGCATTTAGAGCTGGAGGACGTTTCCGTCCCTTCTGTCTGTATCACAACAACTGCGGACGACGACACGCCCAGTTCAGCTCGAAGGTGCAACGACCTCTTTGGCTCACAGAAGCAAACGTCTTTGTGCCTCAATTCCTCAGTCCGGAGGCAGAAATCGACAAGGGAAACACGAGTTCCCGCCTGCACGTTTCCCTCATCATCGCAAATGTAGTCACATCCCGAATAGTTCCCAACCGCTGCAAAGCTCTCCGATGTCCGAGCATGCAGCTGGGAAACTGAACAGAACAATTCAAAGGGCATCAAAGTCTTTCTGTCATCGTCTATACTTCCTGTAGGGCTCTATTGCTTTCTCATAAGAAAACCGCTTTCTGATAACAAAACAAAACGTATTTCACATATGAACTGGGTTTTTTCACGTTAAGTTTTATATCGCTTCACACAGCAGAGGAATAAATTCAGCCTCAACCTGCTGAACGTTTCCACACTCTCTGAAACCGTTTCTCATCCTGTTTCCCGTCATGCTGCACAATTTTATTTACGTCTATTTACCTCTCAATCTTTTTTTCTTTATAGTCAAGCGCCTCGGCGGCGCAGGGTGTCCGGTGTATGGGCCAATAAAGCACACGGAGAAAAGGGGGCAAAGCAGCACTCAACACTTCAGATTTGTATTTGTAAATGATTTTGAAATCCATGTCAACTTTCCCCGACCTGCAGATGGACTATTTTGTGTTGTTCAATTACATAAAATCCGTGGTTATACCACAAAAAATTGAAGGAAGGTCCAAAGGAGGGTGAATTCCTTTGGAGAGAGATGGAGGGAAGATGCATGGAGAAGGAGGAAGAGGATAATGTAAGAGAGGAGAACATTTTAATGGTCCAATTAGTCCTGAGTGACTTGATTAACATTAAGAGGGAGAGAAGGGAGGAGAGAGACAGAACTGAGATAGACAAAGACAGAGAGGGAAATAAATTTCCTCATTCCCTTCTACCTATAAAGCTCATAATCAAAGAGCTTTACGATATGTAACCGTACGATAGCGGGTGACCCGCACTGACTGGTGCAGTGAGCTTCCCTTTGGGCTTATCGTAGATATAGGACCTTTATTTGGCCAAATCCAACTTCACAAGTCACGCGTCTTTGTTGATGCCCTATTGTATGTTGGTGCAAGTCGTATGTTTAACCTGAGACAAGCCGGGCGACTGCTACCCCCAAACCATGTATCTGTTTTTATCAAGGAAATCAAGTATAAAGTTCAGTCAAACACAATCTCACACACAAAATGTCTCTAACGAACTGAAATGAGGACTCCAGACAAATGGCAATGTTTTTGTGAAGGAGGCACAGTAGTTTAATATAATAAACTTTTGCTTTGAAATACTCAAATTCAGAGCGACTTCCTGATAGAAATAAACTAAAACTGGAGGCTCCTCTCATGGATTACTACGGACTTCTGTCTGAAATACCACAACGTGATGCAGCACCAAGACTGACAGACATTTAAACGGTATAGATAAAACAGATCACGCAGGATTTTTCCCTCTACACTAAAATGTAAAGATCTTGTTCGTAGTTGTGGGACTTTAAACTGAACACATTTGGATTTTTCATAACAAGTTATCTTAATAGATTACCTGTGTCTTATGAACATGTGTTCACAAGACGATCAGTTAGTTGACCGTAGTGTATCGGACAGACTGAACTGGTAAACCTGATTAAGAAAACACATTTTCTACTGTGGATTTCTCCATACAAATATATATCGATATGTGTGTGTGTGTGTTACCTTTGGTACGGGCAGCTGTGTGTGGTTGAGAGACACCTGGCTGATCCTCTGTGGCTCCTCCACCTGCACACACAGATCACACTCAACCACCAGAAGCAGTACCTTCCCCCACGAGGACCCAGCGGGTGGAGCAGGCGTAGACGTACCGCCGACAGAGGCTTGCGGACGCCCAGGCGGACCGTGCCGAGCGGGACGGCCTTCAGGACCTCCAGGGCCTGGTCCAGGGTGAGCGCGTCCAGCTGGGTCCGGTCGACTGACACCAGCTGGTCCCCGGGGAACAGGCCGCCGCGGCGCTCCGCTGAGCCGCCCGGGACCAGAGAGCGGATCACCATCACGCAGCGGCCCGGATCCAGCGGGTCCTGGAGGGGGTGAGAACACTCGTCAAGATCTCTGACGGACGTCTGCATTCCTGGAGGAGTCAATTCAATTCATTTCGTTATTAACAGCTCATTTTTCTAAGGATATTTTAATTTTCATTATTTACTACTATTTAATATGCTGAAAAAAACACTAAATAAAATGTTATTGTTTCAGTTTTCGTGAGTTGTTAAAAACCCACACTGAAACAAATCCCTGGCACACGCAGACAACAATCCTCGACTGTAGGACGCCCGACACACATGGAGCGAGACAGGAAGGCAAGGCAGCAGACACACCGGCAGGGGGAGACAGAGACCGGAGAGACGAGAGACGATGCCCCCGGACAAACCAACACAAAAACAACAACACACAAACACGTTGAGGAAGAACGGGCTAACAGAAACCATCCGTCAGGTCAAAGGTCAAACAAAGGCCAAACAGACGTGGAGCAATCAGAGAGCGGATGATGAAGGGAAAAGACAAGAGTGGGACTTACAAAGAGAACATTTTCATGCTGCATGGGTGGACAAACGAGTCACTGATGACATTTACTTCACTGCGGCTCAGGTTGGTTGCTGTTAATGTGCTGCAAACACTCTCGGGGTTCAACTGTCCGATGCTCCGTTTGCTCAGAGGGTGAGCGGCTTTTCAGCGAGATGCTACTTATTTATGCAGGTTTCAATAAACAACACCGTGCAATCCTTTGAATGGTGAATAGCCACAGAAAACAGTGAGGTGGTTTTCAAGAGTGGTCTCAGGTGATGCTGTACAGGTACTTTTCTCTTCTTTTGAAATAAAGAAAAGGTTTTGTAAGAAATAAAACTTCTGTACTAATCATGGAAAAGATAAAGAAAAAGTCTTTCAAGGTAGTTACAATCCATTTAAAATAATGTAGGTATGAAAATGAAAATAAAATGGTAGTTGTTTTAAGGTACTTCTCCTCACCTACAAGGCACTTGCTGGTGAGGCACCGTTGTATCTTAAAGAGCTTGTAACACCTTATTGCCCTACAAGGCAGCTGCGCTCCATAGATGCTGGGTTACTTGTTGTTGGTTTTAAAAAGTAGGCTGGGGGCCAGAGCCTTCAGTTATCAAGCTCCTCTTTTCTGGAACCAGGTTCCACTTTCAGTCCGGGGGGCAGATTCGGTCAGCTCTTTTAAAGTAAAACTTAAAACGTTCCTCTTTGATTCTGCCTATCGTTAGGGCTGGCTCAGGTTAGTCCGGACCAGCCCTTAGTTAAGCTGCTATAGGCTTAGAATGCCCGGGGGAATTCTTAGGACACACCGAGCTCCTCTCTCACGCTCTCTTTCTACCATAATTCAAGTTTTATTAATGCACATGACTAATTCAGCTTCTTTCCGGGAGTTTTCTTTGTGCTTTCTCCCCTAGCAGGTCTCCGTAGATCGTAGTTCCTTCTGGACCCTGGTCCTGACACCTACCGTGGCCATGCTGACGCCTGCTGCTGCCATCATCATCATTATTTTAGATATTAATCATAATACTTTACTCATAAACCGACATTACCTCTCCTAAAATCTCTGTGCTCTCCCTCCCCACAGGATTCTGTGGATGGTGGTTGCCCCTGCAGTGGTCCTGCTGTGCGCCTGGCTTACTACTCACAGTTACTTGAATCATTTCTGTCATAGGAATTGCATGTATGATACATTGTTCATTCTGTACACATGGCATCCATTGTAGTCTGTCCATCCCGGGAGTGGGATCCCTCCTGACGTTCTCCCTAAGGTTTCTTCCCTTTTTTCTCTCTTGGAAGGGTTTTTTCATTTTTTGGGGAGTTTTTCCTGTGCCGATGGTGGGTTTCGGGGCAGAGGATGTTGTATGTGTACAGACTGTAAAGCCCTCTGAGGCAAATTTGTAATTTGCGATTCTGGGCTATACAAAATAAAATGACTTGACTTGAGTTGTTCATTTTAAGATGTATTAATGCATTAATTCATATACAGTAATATTAAGAATATTAAGTGGTTTTATTGCCTATATTCAATTAATGTGCACTCTTTCTACCGTACCACCACATGTGGATGAATAAAGTTGTATCATCATTAGTTTCTTATTGAACAAGTGATGTTCACTGGGATGGACAGGTCGCTGATACTACCAGCGCCGCCTCCTTCCCAGAGGAATGGGTTCAGTTCTAGATACAGTTTCTGGGTACAATAACCCACCACTGTATTTTTTAATAACATCTGCTTTTCATGGACAGTGTAGCGTAACTAACTCTAGTTATCCCATAACTTTGTCCAAAAGTAAAGGAACTCTCAACAAGCTCTCGTCTCTGCTCCGACTGTTTAACCTCAGTAACCGAGAGGGCAACCAGGTCCTGCCCCGAATCCAAACCCCTCTAGAGAACCCTAAACCAACTGCAGCGCTTTGTGTGGTGAGAGCGGACGTACATCTTGTGAATTCCCCTGCACTGATCCCTGGGCATCTCGCGCTGCTGCACGAGCTGCCGTGCCAAGTTTGAGGCTGCCAGAACAAAGCCCAGCCGTATTTTTAGACCGAACAACATGGCTACAGGTGGCGAGGAGTCAGAACCCAAGTCCTCCACTCCCACAAGATCCTCCGGAAAAAGAAAAGGCCTCTGCTGTCAAAAGAAAGTGGAGTTATCAGGAATGAAGGAGAAAGCGAGAAAGGGAAAAAGAAATTAAAAATGTACTTTTACCACGTAAAAGTTTTACCATGCACTACTCGTATACAAAAAAAAATAAACTCCTCATTGTTGTATAAGTTTTAAGACCTTTATGATGCAAGCGAGAATAAAACAGGAACCGTTGAGACTTAACTTTAGACTTTACATTTCTATACGAAACATACTGTAGACCTTTGGGGAACGCAGAGGTTTTCCTAATATGAACCACGAACTTACAATACTTTTTCCCGTCTTCTCACTTTCAATGTAAACTTAAGGCTAAAGGTTGACGAACACTAATGTCTAAATACTCTGGCTTGGTTTTTCATTTAAGTCAGTTCCAAATCTCAATACTCCAGCATGCAATGAGCCAAGTTTCATGATTTGAAAATGGGGCGTCTTCTATGAAGAAAAATCCAGGCCGCAATCATTGATCATTTGAAATAGAACCGTTATTAGAAATAAGTTATAAAATGTTATGATTAAGTTAAATTGTTTTGAAAAAATATTTCTTAGTTTTTCCCATATATATATTTTGATACTTTGAAGTTCTTATATTTTTTCAGTTATTTTATATTTTCATATTTTCAAATTCAAATCACCGTTTGTGTTTCTGGGAGTTGTCTGCATCTGTAACATTTTGGGCTCCTAAAAAGGATCCTAATGGTTGTAATCGGCGCCACTCAGTCGCCTCTGGTCGAAGAAAGCCAAAAGGATCAAAACAAGGCTGCAAACTGGCATTCCACACAGCGATGGGCGACAGTTAGCTGATCTCAAACTCTGCAAATCTATGAACTGCACATTTGTAAAACTCAAAAGTCTCTTTTTTCAGTGCGTCTGTGCTCCTGTGGACCTGCACGTGTTGCGTGGGAGAAAACGCAGTTTTAAGGTATGAAATGGTCCTGTTTAAAGGTGTTGGGCTTTAGTGCAAAACTACCCGCCCGAGTCCAGAGAAAGACAGACAGACGGACCAGCTCTTCTCTTATTGCCTGCAACCATCTTTCACTCGACTCTGACAGCCGCAGAGTCAGTAACAGGAAACACTTTGGCAGGAACACCGGCCCCGACGTGCCCTTGGGCGAGAGATATAGTGGAAAGAGAGGGAGAGAAGTTGCTTCTTTTTATTTTGAGAAAAGTGTTGCGTCGGGTTTCAATCTGAGGTGAAATGCCGGAGTCGGAAACTCAACTGTGTATAGAATTTATATTTTATTGTTCTCACCTCACCAACACACTCGGGGGGGGAGAAAAAGTGAAGATTGGATTAAAAGAAAATTGTGAATGGAAAATGTTTATCTTATTAGTTATTTTTCTTTAGCTAGTGTTTAAATCAAAGGAATACGCATAGTATTACATATGTAAGATATTATATAACATGTGGCAGGGAATTTTCCCATTAATGCGAGGATTAGCAAAAATTGCAGAAAACAGAAGCTTGAGATGAGAAAAGTGAGTTTTAGGCCTTTTTTTGGTCAAGATTAACATTACATTACAATAACATTCCAGATAGCAAATAGAAAATGCAAAATGCCAAAGTAGGGGCTCATAAGTGTAACGGGCAAACATGTGTGCGTCTGTGTTGGTTGCAGCTGGTCTCTGAACACAGGCTGCTTTGTCCAGAACTCAAGCTGAGGCCAAGACCAGCCGGCCATGAAGCCCACACACCCACAATGACATCATTTATGAGGTGGAGAAATCTGTACGTGGTTTTTGATTGGTAGTTTAGTGCGAGGCTGCTGACCTATTGAGACTGAATGAACCGTGCTTCATGAGATTGCATACAGGATACGTACAGAATCCCACTCTACACTCAGTCACCTCAGCGTAGTTCGCTGCAGGGTTTCCTTTTAAAAAGTGCCTTTTTTTTAGACCGAATGCTTATCTACTTGTATGTTATATGTTACAAAGGACTATCACTGTCATCATAAATCCAACATTACCCACTTTGTCTTTGTGATGACTGGACCTCTAGTACAAGTACAACCGATCACATCCCTCTGTAAGCCCAGAGGACGGAGAGAGCCTCTGAAGGTTTACAACAGAAGCGAGTTCTCACAACTAAGCCTGCAATACGTTAAAGGGTAAACAGACTTGCACAGCACCTTTCTAGTACTCCGACCACTCTAAACTCATTTGAATCCTTGCCCAATATGGACAGGAAGAGCTGGGGGATCCCAGCAGAGATTTTGGGGTTGAAACTAGAAGCGCTTTTGAGTCACAGCTCCTTTATACGAGAACAAGGCTGCTTCTTTATTTCTGGGTGTTCTACACTGTGGATGCTGATAGTAACATAATCCTGTTATTTTATCCCCATATTCATACTAGAAATATGACCTGTGTATTTAAGCCATCCTCAGCTTGAAGAGCAGTGGGCTTGACTGACACAACACAGGGAGACGATTCACTAAATCATATAAAACAGATATATATGGAAACATTTAACAAAGAGAGTCTGCAAATGTCTTATGGATTGTAAGCATACAATACACTAAGGGAATGGACAAATATTCACATATTTTAAATGTAATTATTATCACTGGGTGCTGGGGCATAATTTAATTATCTGATATAACGACGCCTGCCTGCTTTTGTCCAAGGCTGAGGTTGGAGTTCACATTTTCAAAACTGCTAGTTCTGCTTCCACGAGTCCACGGCCGGAACTTACAGGGGACCGTCTCCTCGAGATGAAGCTAAAGGATGTCCTGTTTGTCAAATACATCTCCTCCCCCCAAAGTGCTGCATCAGCTGGGGCCGACTCAGGGGGAGGGGGAGGTCTCGAAGGTGAAGCCGTGCCTAAAGTGCTGAAACGGTGGGGGGGGGGCAAACCGACCGGCCAGGGCCTCACAAAGCTGCCCTGCAGACAGAGGCTGTGCTGAACATGATGCCTGTCAGTAAGCATAAAAATCAAAAGGAACAGAAGTCGATTTAACTTGCTTCAGGTCGATCGCCTGGAGGCGACATCACACGTATGTCGGACAAACTGTATCAGTGAGATCCAATACTTTGGTACAGATGGAAAATCTCTACACTACAGGTTGCTAGAGTCTTAAAATGTACCCTGATGTATGGTCTAGTTGCCCTCTGATGGCCATGAAAGAGAATGCTAGGTGAAAGGCACTTTACTTTTCACCGGTTCTCAGAAGTCACCTCCTGAAATAAGCAGACGTCTGGCCCATTTGGGATGAATCCTTGCTGTTTTAGATACTATGGATTTTGTTTTCAAACTTAGTAGGAATATAGGACCAAATTGTATTTAATTGTATCGTTAATTGCAATGTGCAGTATATTGTTTGGTTTGAAAGGTCAATTCTAAATGTAAAGAAAAGGGAAAAGGAGACTGAGTGGATGTTGTAGCAGCGGTTGGAGGACAGTTGTGTGCTTACCTGGTAATCAAGGATGCTGAAGCCAAGCCCTTTGTCTCTCTCCTTCTGCAGCTCAAGGATCTGAACGTCTGGAGACCACTGGGTCAGCTCTTCATCATCTTCATCTTCAGCCTGCTCCTCCTTGTTCTCGTCCTCCTCATGGTTGTACTGATCCTTCATCAGCACCATCTCTACAGGGGATGCACGCTCCTCCTGACACAGTGACAACAGACAAGCAAGAATAAAAAAGTCGGTTATCTTAAGACCAAATCATCATCAGTATAATTAGAATAATGATAATATAGAAATTATCCTAGTGGAATGCAAACATGCTCTTCAAGCATGCATGTACGCACGCACACACAATAAGGCTATGTCCCTGTACAACAATGAGATATTGTGCAGCAATGTAGCTAAATAAACTTATACTGAATATAAAACATTCCAATACACAAACAATATATTTTCTGAACTATAATTCTAAAAAAGAACGTCACAAAATCAAATTCTCAAATTAAAGTATTTCTTTCAGCTATGATGCTGTCACGTGCACAACATCGGGCCACAAATCAAACTCTAAATAAAAAACATTGACAAACAAAAAAAAGTTCTGGCATTTTCACTTTCAGGACTTTTCAGTATCTACTTTCAGAATGTGTCTCACGTGTGCGTCTCACTACCTGCTGCGGCTCCATCACGCTCCCTCTCGGTCTGCTGAGCATCGACGACAGCGTCAGCTCCATCTGAACAAACACCACGCGCTTTATACTCATCACACCTTCTAAGGTCTTTTAAAGCATTAAAAACTAAAACAGATATTGAATGAGTGGATTTTACACACATTATGGGATAAAATAAAGTTGATATTGAGAGAGTGTTCCTCACCTCCTCCACACTGGGTTGTGACCGTCCTAATGGTTCTGGTCCAAGTCCAGTTCGTAGAACAGGTTCATGTTCAGACTCTGATTCTGGTTCCAGGTCAGCGGTCGGGTGTCGGCAGCAGACCAAAGTGAACGGAGGAGGCACTTCTTTGAGAAACGACAGCACCTCTCGACGGGACTTTCCGTACAGCTGCACATCATTCACCTACAGACACACACACGCAACATTTCCAACCAGAAAAGGTTTTCCCAATTCAACAGCTTAATGCAGTTTCATGCTTTAATGTTTTCCTGGTTCTAGTTGTGGTTCATCCTGCGGGCTAGGAACAAATACAACAGAGTTGATTAAATAAATTGCATTAATGTGCAAAAAGTGGAAAATGACATTGGGTAATAGTGGTCTAAGTCAGTTCTCTTGAGTCATGAAAGTCCTGTAAACTGTAACATGAATACTTACAGTATGCATAGTTTATGTATGAACTTCTATAGTATACATGCATCCACTAGTTCAGCATCTGCAAAAAACAGTCTGATTTCCAACAGTAGCAGCATTTAGTCCAAGCAACAATCTCCAGTTTAGCCGAAGGCGGTCACTGTGGAGGTGTCTTAAAACTTGCAAGGAATTTACCTCTCCTTTGATTTGTTGCCTTGGTTAAGGTAAACTAGTTAGATAAAACCATACTTTAGGACGGGATTACTGTGACTGACAGGTCGCTGCGTCCCTTCGTCCTGCCTCAGCATTCTATGTACCGTACAATTTGTTCGTTGGCCGCGCAAATAACCACACCAACAGCAGCAATCCACAAACCAATTGGTGACGTCTCAATGGTTAAGTCCGCCTCTAAAGTACGCTGTATTATTTAGTCCTACAGTGTTAGTCTGTGGGTGAGTGTACGGTATTTACCTCCAGGAGCTCGTCCTCTGGTCTCAAGACTCCATGTTGGTCCACGGGGCCTCCAGGGACCACAGAGGAAATGTAGTGGTGACCATCGAACGAGTCCAGCTCGACACCAAGACGCACAGTGTGGATGGGCAGCAGCTGGAGGCAACAATACAAAAGAACTATACCGCATCACCAACTGGAGCACATAAAACATATGTAAACATATTACATTCTATTTCAAAAGGTAACACACACCGTAGACAGAGGACGCAGGGTCCAGACTACACAGTGGGTTTCTCACCTTGGAGGACTTTTGCAGCTCTGCATCGTCTTCAATGAAAGGATCCAACTTCACCACCTGACAACACACGCACACACTTTAACATCCAAGATGGACAGTGTGAGTGAAAATGTGGGACACAGTGTGATCTTACCAGAACTTGGTACTTTGGTCCCAGCGCCTGCTCCCATTTAGCCCTTCGTTCTGCATCTGTAGCTACAGAAGAAGTAGCGGAAGTACTGTAGGACAAGTACACGTTTCTCACCTACATCATTATGCAACCCAGAAGTATTTGGAATTTGGAAAAGATCATCATTGTCCCCTTTCTTCTACCAAGACACAAAAACAAGTCCCACGGTTTGTTGGAGAGAAGTGATGCAACGAGTGGAGTGTGGTGGAGTCGTGCTTCAGCCAGGACAGATGGACCACAGGGGGAGTTGGAATACGTGGCATGGCGACGAAGAAGAACCGTGAGCATGTTTGGCTGTCGCAGTTCAGTCCGACAGGTTGAATGGGAAACTGGCTAATACCTGTAGTACTACTACACTGATGGCAGTACTGCAGCGGCAGAATCACAGAAGCTGCTCCCCTTGCGGCTGCAGTGCAAACCTTTAAGTGCAGGCCGACGCTCGCCTCATTGGAATTCCCCGGTTAGAAGCAGAAATCTAAATAACTCAAATGTAAACTGTTAAGTGAGAAACTTCAACTGTGGAGACTGTACGCATGCGTGTGTCTGGGGTTAATGCATTTGTACACACACACCTACACACAAATGTCACTTAAATCAGGGAAGAATAAATGTGTTTTCCAGCGTGGACATGAAACACTGCAAGTCAGAGCGACTGAGGAAAAGCCTCGGCCTGCTCTCTGACCCCCCCCTCCCCCCCCTCAGCCGCATTTCACAAACCTGCTCATATGTTTCTGTGCTATTTTTGCAGCGGGTCCGGCGCAACAGCCTCTGATTAAATTAGCATTGCTAACCTTGGGCTTCACGGCGCGATTAATCTGCGGCGTTGGGCTGAATAAACAGGGTAATACATCGCGGCGAGGCTGTCAGACAGCTCGGACACTTTACATCTGTTGGCCCGGCAGCGGGCGCGCCGATCGCTAAGTGTTACCGTGGCGTTTTGGCCACTTAGCAAAGCTAATGAGGAAAAGAAAAAAGAGGAAATAAGTCAAGGAAGAGTGCTGTTGGAGGCGTGCATTGACATGTCTGCAGACACTACACTTAGTGGCCTTCCTTTCCATTTTTAAGACGCTGATAATGATCAGAGCTCCTTTCATTAATCCACTTCCTGTTATGCATGGCTGAAAGGCCATTTTAAAAAGGTTCAGGCTTTTTAGGATTTTTTTGGTAAGGAGATGATTAGAAGCACATGTTAAGATAATAAGTAGATTAGAATGCAATCCGAGAAATATAAAGCTGTAGCTGTTTACACTTTTGGCTCAGTGTAAATGTGAATTTATAACTAAATCTATTCTACCCACAAACACGACATGTCTTTTGGCCACAGTGGTTAAAGATCTTCAAAGCCCCACGTGTTTGTGATGATTGAAGCAGACTGTTGAAGCTGTTTGTATTATTATTTATCTGATTGGATCATCTATCTTTGCTGTGACATAGAACATTGTGAAAGAGTCTCCAACACACGATCGACCTGCGGTGTTTAAAAAGACACAAAGCTTTTTGGCCAAAACAAAAACAAAATTGCCCACAAAAGCAGTTGAAGAGGAAGTTGTGGATGAGCACACTACTTACGACAGAAATACTGCCTTGGTGTCATTTTGTACCGTAGAACAGAAACCTGACAGACACAGTGAACCCCGTCTGAATCAGACTCCCACTTACAGCAGAAACGATGAGTTTCTCAGCGGATTAAATCATGGAGGTCACAGCTTCCACGTCATAACATCCGGTACACTGGATGCTTTTCAACTTTTCAACGCAGCTCTCTCTCATACTCTCCAGCAACAGTGTGCGTGTTTGTGTGTGCGTCCGTGTGAGCCAACCACTTTCCAGTTGTGCCGCGTTCGGGTGTAGCGGCTCGGCGGCGGCGGTGGCCTCCGACCTCCAACGAGCTCCTCAAAGACAAACAAAACCACTCCCTCTCCACTTACACACAGAACATTCGTCATTCTACAATCCCGTTCTTCCATTTCTGTTCTTCGTGGCATGAATTCAGCAAAGACCGTCTGACAGCGTGCTCCGTTGACCCGTTTACATTTCAACAATCTTTATTGTAATCTAATAACATGACATGTTAAATCCTTGCTTAGGGCTACTTCACTAAGGGAGCAGGGCGCTCTGTCCTTTGACCTCCACACTGATCGTTAACGTCCATTTAATTGGGCTTAATGTTCCTGTCAGGTCCATCGTACCTCATCATAAGTCCCTCTAGATAAGAGAGCCACAGAAATAACCACAAGTTGGAAACAGCTGGCTCTCTGTCCGCGGCGTTTTCTCAGTAGTTAACTAAAAAACACGTCTGGAGGAGATAAGAGCCCTGCACTCGTTCCTCTCTGGCCCGAAGGGTGACCAGTGCAGGCCGCCGGCCCCTGAACTGAATTCATCTCCGTGATGAGGAGATGAGGAGGACAAATTACCGGCTTACCACGAAGAGTTAGGGGAAATTACAGAGAGGGGTAAACAAATTTGTCATGGCGGCGAAGGCCCGAGGCTGGGAGGCATCGCACAGGTAATGAGAAAGGTTCCCGATGAATTCCACACAGAGTTCACTCCTCTCGCTGGAGCCGATTAGTGTTTTAATGCCACACAATCACCAGGTTGGCAGAACACAAACCCAAGGGAAGTCCCTTAACCGCATCATTAACGACAGTTATTCCCATATTTTACTTTTAACACTTTGAATCCCTTTTCCTTCAAGTATTCATCTGATAATCAAGTGGAAATCAGGATCTACTTCATTAACTTTGAAGTAGATCCTTAGTTGTGCGTTGCATTATGGGATTATAGCGTCCATCAACATGACACTCAGCAAATGAAATGTGATCATTTCAGCCATCGCTGGATTAATAGCATGTGCTTACCTTCATCCAGCGACCTCTCAGGGGTTCTGGCTTTCTTCCTGACCACACTGAGAACGACGGTCCGACCCGTCTTCCTCATCACGTCCATAACCTCCTGATTGGACAGACCGTGGAGACTGACGCCGTCCAACTGGGCAAACAGGCGTTGAGGTCACGAAGAAAGAGAGACAAGGGAACTCGTTACACACTCCAAGATATGTGCAGTGCGCATCCGACACATGTAGGTGGATATTAATGATTGAATAAGGTCGTTACAGCGAGCAGCCGGTCGTGGATCCGGATGTTCCCGCTGTGATCTGCAGCGCTGCCGGGAACCACGTGTTTCACAAACACACCTACGGCATCTGAGTCACAACCGACACAGTTCCATTGGTACAAAACACAGGTAATATGCAAAACACAAATAAAATAGACCTGGTAAAACTGTCTGTGTCCCAGTGAAGACCATAGAGCTGCTTCACAATAAGAGCCCTGCAGAGGCTTCACAGTGTTAACCTTCAGTGAAGGAATACGATCGATGTACCTTGGCTGGTCAGAGGGTTGTATCCAACAATGGAGATGCCGAGGCTCTGACCCTCGTTCTTGCTTAGAGGAACCTCGTGAATCTCATATCCCTCCAGGTTGGGCTGGAAAACAAACACAGTCCATTTATTTCAGATGGGACTGCGTCTCCAAAACCAGCTGCATACAAAGAGAGAACAAAGGTATATAACGTAAATGATGAAACGGATTCTCTGCGACGGCGCTTCTGACTGCTCACTGTTTTGCTCAGCTGGCCCGGCGGTGGCAGGCCCGGGGAGCGGGGCGGTAAGGAGGAGACGGGGGCCGAGTCGGGAGGTGGTGGGGGAGGCGGGGCTGTCGACGGTTGACCCCGGGGGTCTCTGGCGATCAGCAACGTCACCTGGCTCCCGCACCCCTGCAGCACCTTGACAACCTGGTCGCTGGTGAGGCCGCTGGTGGGCGTCACCCCGATGCGAAGGATGTGGTCACCTGTGCGCAGACGCCCGTCCTGACAGGAGGAGCAGCACGTGAGCCAAAGCATTGGAAAATATAGTGATACAGAGATACAAGTGTCTCAGGGTGTGGTCTCTATTTCAAACAGGGTTGTATTATTATCATTAGCATTTGAATATCCCCAATTATTTACAATGCTAACGGTTGAAACAACCCATCGTCTCTGTGTCCTCCACTGCATCTTTACATGGATAACAGTTGTTTTGTGCATAAACAATATTCCCAATGTGCAACGCAGCTAATTTAAATTGATTGAAATGCTTCGGCGCTTCTTTCTTTTTGTAATTCTTAACATCTCACAAAAAGCTGAGCTGCAGGCCAAACGACACCCAGCCGGCACTCGACTCGTGCTGTGGGGAAGTCAAAGAAAGGAGAGCGATGATGAAAGGAAAACGCAGAGATGGGGAGAGGAGGTTAAATGGCAAAGTGAAATAAGGCAGAAGAGATCGAAGATGATGACGATGAAAGAAGACACAGCAAATCTGCACAGACTTCAAAAGAGGTCCACCGGGTGGTTCAACATGTCTTGGAGAGAAATTAATCTTGTCCAATTAATCTAATTAATCCACTTACAAGGCAATACTTCCCCTCTCAGTCCTGCTATCTGTTCTGATGCACTGCTCGTCCTGTAACTGTTGTTCATTCAGAATACGTCCGCGGTCCTTTCGATTCTGCTTAAGCAGCAGCCGTTTCTGCTGTCGGCTGCTCAGCTGATCGACTTGTTCAGTGCTCTTTGGAAGCTTAGACTGACTTTCCCCGCCCGGGTTACCAGGCTACTGGGATTGATTTTAAACGGTGCAATGTGTAATATCTGGATAAAATATCAAATGTATCAACACAAATGAACTTGTGTGTTATTGCAGAGATATCAGCTGAACCAGCTGGACTCTGTCATGTTCCAAGAGCCGCTGCAGCGTCCAGTCGGCTCCCGGTCACCGTGTGAGGGTCAAGCGGTAGAGCTGCCCCGAGGGTTTGTCACACTCTATTTAATCGGGGGGAATCCAAAGTGGCAGAAACGAGACACGTCTGTCAATCTGAATCACCACAAACGGATGACCGAAGCGAGCGCCGACCGTGAAGACCAAATGGTAGTTTAATAATGCGCCCGACGCTGAGGTTAGCGCAGGTTTCTCATTAATGTGATGATAGAACATCAGCTGAACTCACCTGGTCTGCCACGCTGTCTGGGATGAGCGTCCGGACCACCACTCCGGCCGTCCTCCCTCCCACGATGCCAAAGCCCAAACCAGAGCCATCGTTCACCAGCTCGATTTCCTCCACGTGACCCCACCGCTCCTTCAGCATGGAGACGCAGGACGAAGACGTTCATTAACGATAAGACTGATAAGTGATCCGTCATTGAAAAATACCTCAAGCATTTAATAAAGGAACGAAAAAAGACAGAAATGAACATTTGTCAGGGGATCCGCAGTTCTGAGATGTCTGCGGCGTTGATGAGCAAACCATGCTGCTATTACTGTTGTTCTTGTGTTACCTGTTTATGTGACTGGGTCCCTGAAACAGGGCTTTGAAATGCAACCCGTTTCTCTTAATATGAACAAACTTGCTGTTAACATTGTAAACAACTATGAATACAACATGTAGATTTACTTAAAAGGGAAACCCAGCTGACCTTCTATTTTACTTTAGTTCTAGTCTTTCGTCGATTGTTGGATGTTCATCTGTCTTGCTGCTCAAAGTGTGTCATGTGACTTGGGCTTTGTATAAACAGTTAAATAAGGTGGACATTAAAAACTTTCACGTCCAAAAAATGTTAAAATTTCCACATTAAAAATTTAGTTTAATGTGGGAAAATCACATCCACTCCATTAAAAAATGACCTGATGAAAGCTCATGTGCAATAATGCAGCAATAAAACCATTTGGTTTCAGTGAAGGCAGAACGATGATGATGTAAATCATCATGAATGAACATAAAGGCGATTTGTGCAGAGGATGAAGGTGGCTACACAGATGTTTGGCAGTATTCTCATCTACAGTAATGCCTGTGGCCCACACAGAGCAGGCAGATGAGTGTCAGTGTGGAGGCTGTGTGTAATGAGCGTGCACCTGAAGCCTGAAACCTTGGTGCTGCTGATATTTAGAATCAGCTGTATAATCGGTTTGGAGTGTGAGCCGCTTGCAGTCCGCGTTTCGTCCACACACACTTTCTGTGGTTTCTCGTGTTTGGCTGTCGGCCCCTCAGAGATAAAATGACCTCCACAACAAGGTCAACATCTTCTCTACTTTCAGCCATAAACAGACATGCATGCTGGGAGATTCTTTAACCAGCGGTTTGTTTTCATGGTTGGTTGGTTTTCACGACCTTTGATTGACAGGTCGAGGCGGTGAAGTTCAGAAACTTTCGCCAGTTGTTAATTTCCTCCCAGCGGAGACCTTTTTGAAAAGGTCCTTTCAGGTTTCTGCAATTTGCAAAATCCGTTATGTTTTATCTCGGTTCTTTCTGATTTTTTTGTCATTTTTAGGAGAGCAATACATTTTGTGTAAAAATTTAAAAAAAGAGTCAGCTGACATGCTGTCTTAATCCGTGGTGGGAAAATATTCACTGAATAGACAAAATCTGTAAGATCATATCTGACTGGTGGATTTATACCCATCTTTACAAGCGAGGAGTTTCCTGTCGGCGCCCAAAACCACCGCAGCGGGAAGGGGGTTGGACATGTCGGCGGCAATGGCGGGTCAGCGCCGCCTGAATCTGCCCGGTAGAGGAGCCTCGGCTTCGGGGGAGGCGGGTAGTTAGCCGGGCCAGGAGAGGAGCAATAAAACCAACTAGAGTTGCGTTTTTTATGCCCACGGCTCCATTAAACGCGACCTCGGTGGAGACGGGACATGAATAAAACAAAAGCGGGAGGAATCGGAGGCCTGGTATGCAGGACGTGGCTCGGGTCCAATGAGCCGACAGGAGGAGGAGGAGGAGGGGGAGCTGGAAGGGGGTAACAAACAAGGGGGGCAGTGTAATGCTGTGTGATAATGACCCGCCGATAGAGCAGGGCAGAATCATTAAGGCCGAGGCCGACCTGCTCACAGGCTGGGTTTCCTTCATAGAGGAAGGCCTTTCTTCTGGTCACCCAAATGTCAAAGCATGTCTTCATATAACATAAGATTGCCTCTGCATAGATTCCCATTAAATAAACACCTTTGCATTTTACAAACATTAAAAAACATGTTTGCAAGGTAACGGGTGCCTAAACATGACAACATCTCTCGGCCTCTAACTTTCCGTGGTGCTTCAAAGCACAGCTGCATCATCGCAATAATGACTTATTCTGATGTATAGAAGTCTATGAGAAAGGACTCCACTTCTCTCTTGATTTAATAATCCACTAAACTTTGTAAATGGTCTCAACCTCTAGTTTCAAGTCTTCAACACAGCATGTTGGTGATTTAGTGAATTATTGTCCATTTAAGGTCAATTAGACCATAGAGCTTTAGGGCGGGCTTACTTTGATTGGCAGTTTGCATCTTGCATGTCATAGTGTAATATCTAATAGTATAATATAGAGGAAAGTGACGCAACCCATTTTGGAGCTGAACTTTTATATTTGAAGTACAATCTTTTATCAATTATCAAATACTCGTTCAGGTATTCCTATTTGGTGTGTTAAGCAAGGATATTAAAAATGATTGATTCAGCTGTTCAAATTAAAATCTTCTTATTTGGTAGTTGATGATCCCACTGTAATAACACATGTTGTATTTGTTGAACAGGAAGAATATCTGCAGAATGCTGCTGAACATTGTTCCAGCACTGCTGGAAGTAAATCAATGCAAAACACATATTCTAGATTAAAATGATGGGGGAGATGTCCAGCTGTTTTTAACCTTGGATCAGTAGTGCTGCCATATATTCTGAGTAACTATCTTGGCTTGACAAGGACATGAAGAAGCTGTCAATGTCGTGGCTCAGTCAGCAGGGCAGAGAACTGCCATCTGCATTGAACAAAGTTCAACCATGTGGCGACGTGGGATCCACTTCCCACTGATGTTTGACCGGTCCTCTGGTGTCTGCAGTCCCAGAGACATCTTTTGTTTCGTGTATTAGTGGAGACATGGGACCGGAACCTCCAAACATCAGGTGCTTGGATTTTGGACTTTGATATTTACTAAAATAATTTTCCACAGGGTGTCGTTTCTCTAACAGCATTTCCTCAATATTTCAGAAAAGGATAGTTGAAAGAGCAAAATCTCATGCATGGTAGTCTGTTGATGTTGAACTTCTCACACTTAAGGATACCAGGTTGTAGAATGTTTAATGTTTCTCTGGAGGACGACACAACCTCTCTGTTGTGTGAGGACATGAGGGATATACTCTCATTGGTGTGGATATATTTTGGCTGGATGTCTACGACAAACCTCGTTTATGAGAAGTGGACATCCGGACCTCATTCACTGATTTATGGACTGATGTTTTGAATCCTTGATTTTGGCAATTTCACCCTCGCCATCTTGGAAAACAGTCGTCAGCAAATATACGAACATTACCATATTTGGAATATGGAGGAGTGACGTAGTGACCCGTCAATCACAGTAGCTGCTTTATGGTCTATTTCACTCGAAATGGCCCGGTACCGGTCCGTGGCCGGGTGGTTGTGGACCATTGTTCTATAGGACCAGGAGTTGCCCCCGGGCGGTCAGCGGAGAGAATGCACGTTTTAAATCACTTCCGCATTGACTTCACTCTGCGGACCTGGAGGTTGCAGCCTGGTTGCTCCGCAGGAACAGAGTATTGTGTCACATTATTGGAGATGCACAATATTTAGTTTGAGCGTGCATTGAAATAACCTGTAGGGTTTTATTGATCGAAATGTTTGACCAATGCAGCAGTATTTCTGGTGTCTCAGAAACGTGTGAGGGCACGTGTGTGGGTGTGTGTGTGTGTGTGTGTGTGTGTATGATACGTAAAATAAAGAAATCAATTAGAGTCCACCAAAATCCTCTCAGCTTCACGGCCCACAGTCTGGGACTGGTTTAATTAAAAGCCAAACCAGTGTGAAGCTTATCCCAGCTTAGTCGATTATGGCTCGAGTTTCCCAATTACGTCACTTCCTCATACATCAGCGTCTCTGTGCCTCCTCTGCACTCCGTCTCCCCGCAAGCCAGTCATTGACTCGTCCGTCATGTCGACGTTCATTGATCGACTCCTCTCGCAGACTTAAACACATATTGTCAGGGGCGACGCTGCAAGTGGAGCACTAACTTGATTTCCTATAGGTCATAAAAGTCATGCGAGTCAATGTCAGCAGACTTATGACTCGTCATGAGCAGGAGGCGTGGCCTAAAAGTGACCTCCACTTATGATTGATGGCCTTCCTTTAGAGTGACGGCCAAGCTACTGTGTTGTCAGTGTGTGTGTGTGTGTGTGTAACTGCTAAACTGTTGGTAAAATCAGCTGTTGGTAAAATCAGCTGGTAAATTCACACTGAGCCACAAGACTAAACAGTGAACAAACATGCAAACTTTAGCCTTCTGTCACATTTTGTTCCGAAATGAGAAAAGCTGACACGCAGTGTGACAGCGCACCGAATAGTGAGCATTTGAATTGTCAATGTTTTCACCCTGAAATGGATGCTGAAGATTTTAGAATCTAAGTGTTTGTATTTTTCTCAACAGACATGCAGATTCCACCTGACGTTATACTGCATCTGATCTCACCATTTTCAGAATCCGCTGAGTGAGCAAATCTACAGATTATTGATCAGAGGGTAAACTTACACCACTCAAACAGAGCCCAAAATAATAACTTGTTAGTAAACATATGGTAAACATATGGTCCTAGAATCATTGTAATACATCGAGGTTCACTTCCAATGTTTGGGAAATGTGCCTTTCCTGGAGAATTATCAACGGCATTACGTTCACATGCAGGATGTGCAGGATGTGGTCTAAGCAGCTGAGCAGAAAGACTGGAATCAGTGGGACTGGCTGGAGGGTTGAACAATCACCCAACAACCCCGGGGGCTGGAATGCACCCACACACACTTACTCAACTACTGCACTACACAACTATTCCAAGGTGCTTTCTTACTGAGCTGGGTTTCTCGCAGATCCCTTTCCTGTCCAGTGAAAACCGGCGTTGATAAAAGCCTCCTTCTTAATAAGGTAAACTCTTGATTCAGCTAGAAATGCATCGTCAACATATGCAAAGTTTCTGCAGAATGAGTGTTTTTTTTATTTTGCTGCCGATACAACGCATATCGTTTTGAGGGCGGGACTTCTACTGTAAGCCATTGATTTCACAATGTGACATTACTTAAGTTAAGGATCTGAATACGTGTCACTACCAACACCTCTAAAGCTCACATGATGGATGTGGTTGAAGGGAAAATAACCAGCAGACCAAAAAAGAAAAGAATTGTCCCGAGAACGGCCTTTGGAAAGAATGAAATGCTCTTAGGTGTTTTATGGAGACGCGGTCAGGCTTTTCTTACCGTGCCGGCTGGCGCGTTGCCGGGGTGCCCCCGAGCCACCACCATCTCCACTGTCTCCCCCGGCTGCTGCAGGAGGGCCAGCGCCTGCTGCTGGCTGATGCCCGGCTCCAGAGGGACGCCGTTTATCACCAGGATCTGGTCCCGCTCCTGGAGGCGCCCGTCCCTGCAGCCCAGACACACAGCCAGGAACTTTCAACTACCTGATACTAATAAATGTCTTTTGCAGACATTTTGATTTAAACTAAATAACGGTAGCCAAGTTATAGCTAAACAATAACCAAAATGTGTCTCTGTAAACAGATGGAGGCCTACAAATGACATGAGGAGAAACAGGACGCAATTGACAGTTCGAGCTAAGACGAAAAAAAATATATCATTTTTATTAAAGTTGCAACCTGTAAGTATTTGTCACTGAGAGGAGAAGGAGGAGACATTGATGGTTTGTCGTTAGATTTAAATTCATGTCACTCCAGCCAGACTCACCAGGAGGCCGAGAGAGTCTGTGCTCTTCTCTAAGTCACACTGGAAGAAATAAAACTACCTTTTGGAAAACAAGCCGCCAACTTCAAATATAAGAAAACACCAGAAAGTGTCTTTAGGGGACTGTGTGTTACCTGTGTGCGATGCCTCCAGGCTGGATGTGTTTGACAAAGACGTCCTGATTGCTGCTTCCTGCGGGATTCAGGCCGACCACGCTGAAGCCCAGACCTCCGGACAGAGGCCGAGTCAGCTGACACACCTCTGTGTGACGGCCCTGCACGCACGCACGCACACAGACACACACACTTAATATATGCAGGCTGTGCCAGTGTGTTTAGGAGGTCGCTCCACCCACCTTGGCGGCGGCTAGGATCCACTTCTGCAGCGCGGGGTCAGACAAGGGCGGAGACGAGCCGTTGGACAGCAGGGAGGAGGCGGACAGGGTGGGCGGGGCCAAGCTGCTAGCTGGGTTGACGGTAGTCATGATCAGCTGACCCTTTCTGGAGAAACCGAAGTCACTGTCGGCGTCGGGCGGCATGCTGCTCAGCTACACCCGGGTGGGGGGGGTTGTCAGAGGTTATTATCCATCTTTGTTAAAGTTTAATAGATTAGGAAGCGGTCTGTCATAATCTAAAACAGATCTTCATTTATTGTAAATTATGGTCCTCTTATTAGTTTGAGTAGAAACTTTTTTTTAATTAATTTTCTCAAGACATATTTAGTGTCTATTAGCAATTATTGTACAGTTAACACATCTTCCACAAATACGTTATTATTTCAAATGGATAAGTTGTTATTTAATTATCATGCAGTCCATCCTCTGCTGCTCCATCACCGTCTGGTACGCTGCAGCCACAGCCAAGGACAAGGGCAGGCTGCAGCGCGTCATCCACTATGTTGTCTTATCCGTCTTGTTGTCCATTGTCTCACTGTCCAATGTTATGCACCAACCGCCAAGTCAAATTCCTTGTAGGTCTAACATACTTTGGTAATAAGTGCTCCTGCGTCACGTCATAGCCAGCAGGGCCTTTAAGACAGCAGAGTGTCCGTCCCCTCTTACGATGATAACTGCGCACGTCCCGTCAGCTGATAGACGATGGGGTAAAGAACATGATGGTCCGTATCCAACAGTGATTACCGGCACAACGCCCCCCCCCCCTCCGTTTCATCACGTCATCTTTCAGCTATACACTGGTGCTCTTTGGGAAGCCTTGATAAGAACACTGCATGTTGTTAATTCTCCTACTTGCAACTATTATCAACGAATGTCCGCTTTAATGATTTTAAACTTTGCTTGCTGCAGTGAAGTTCAGCACTAATCCATTGATTCATGTTGCTAACTTTAGCTTAGCATTGGCTCTTATTCCCAAGTTTTCGACCACTTCAATAACAAAGGGCACGACGGGTGGACAAAGAGGACCGGATCAGAATCTCTCTCTTGCACGCACACGCACACACACACACACACACACACACACACACACACACACACACACACACACACACGGCTTTGTGGTGACATTTTGTTCTGCTGTGTCTTTGAGGAGCAAGAGACAGCGAGAATTTGGTTGGTTGTTTGTTTTTAACACACAACACAAAAGCAGAGTCAGCTGTGACGGAGATAGGAGGGTGGGACGGGGAGAAAAGACAAAGACGTTCCAATTGCAAGGACGTTGTTGATAAAACAGAAAGACGTGGAGTTAAAAAAAAAAAAAAAAAGTGGCGAGGCCAAGGAAAAGTGGAGAAGAGAGAGGGGAAACAGAAAAATCAATAGATTCCTCTGCAGCCTCCCTCTCTCTGAACAGGTAATGTATTAATGACCTTTACACTTACATTGTGGAAACGTATCAGTCTGCGGCTTATTTAGGAGCGGGCTGACGGAGCAGGATCCCGAGCCACTTCATCAATACCCGCCTCGACAAGGCCGTTACTCAAACCGAGACACTAGATATTAAAGCTTGATAGATCCGCAGAGAGCTGGGAGGGAGGGGAAATAAAGAAAGAAAGAGGGAGAGAGGTGCCTCCGCTGCCTTCCACCCCGGCGCGTTCATGGACTCAGTTCTGACCTTCGCAGCACTTAGAATATGAAGCCCGCCGTCGGTTATGGCCATTATCTTAATTTGGAGCACAGATTGTTTATTGTGAAGGCTGTGCGTCAGTGCGAGCTGGAGCTGAATACAGATGGGGATGCAATGCCCTCCACCCCCCAACTGTCAGGTAACGGCATTGGACAGGAGGCGGCAGTGTACCAGTAGCTGATCACGATCATTTGAAATGGTTGTGGTGAAGTAAAAGACATTTTCTCCACCACTGTGCGGCTTCGGATGGAAAGATACCGACAACTTGATGTTAGATAAACAATAATCGAACACTTAAATAGCCTTTATTTTTATCATTAGGTCCCAAAGTTGCAAAATTTAACTGAATCCAGAGGTCCTGGGAGGTGGGGCTAAAGGACACACTGGCGGGCTCCTTGTGCCACTGAGCAACCTTCAGAGGAATGCCACTTTAGAAAAGAAACTTCCATTATCATCCATTATCCTGGAGACATTTCTGCAGAGGATGCATCCAAAAATATGTAAATCACAGAAACATTCATCAGCAACCAAATATAGAAAGGTAGAATCCTCTGACCTGTAGTGAAAGGTTATAATGAAATGTCCTCTTAAAAGGTTTTTTTTATTTACTATCTGAGAGGTTTTAGAGGAGAAGAAACAGAAAACAGAGGAAAGCTGTGGGACCAGGGACACGTGAGCATGTGGTCCCTCACCTGGCTGCGCAGCTGTTGGATGGAGTGCTGCAGGGTCAGGATGTGGCTGAACAGCGGACTCTGCAGGGTCTCGCTCAGGTTTCCCAGCGTCTCGCTGTGGGTCCAATCCTCCCTCTGGACCAGCTTGGCTCGCAGACGCTCCAGAGCTCCCACGACCTGCTGGCGCTCGGCCGAGGACGCTGAGGACCAAAGCGGGGGACGGATTCATCACGCAGAAGCTAACGGAGACTGTGAGCTGGCGGGAATGTGGACCGGGAGAGAGGACTTACCTGTGGGGACATTTTCAAACATGGCCGCCCCTCGCTCTCTGGGCGTCCTTCTGGATCAATCTGAGCAGAGGAGAGACAGACAGACGCGTCCTTTATTCCATTGGCCGACATTTACTGAGGTACAATTGGTCCACTGCAGACGTAAACAAAATGACTAAATGATTAACGACTTGAACGAAAAGAACCGTTCATGTAAAACAACTGACCTAATCCTGACGAGAGAAAGAATATTTCATCAAGTAAGTTAATCCGTTTTTTTTAGTTGTTTTCTAAAAAAAAAATCACAGGAGATGCACAATGATCGTGGTGACAAAGAAGTTTCCTTTAAGGCTTCTGGAAGGCTCTTCATCTGAAACATCTGCTTTGCTTTACAGCAGCGTAGCATCATAGCAGAACAACTGCATTTCATTACCACTGACCAAAAACAGTGTTGTTGTTATCGTTGTTAAACGGTCACAGAGAGGTGAGCCTGACATGACACTGTGGAAATCTATTATATTGAACATTATTTATTTATTTCTGCAGGTTCAAATCATTTTGGAGATGTACTCCAAAAAAACGAACGAATTTACAAAACGAACATGCAGGCGAAGCTGCCGTGGTGCGTTCAGGTGCGTGTGTTTCGCAGGTGAAAAAGCCTCGTTATCTGCGTTTACTCAACACGGCTTGTTTACACAAAGTGAGAGAGAGTCGAACCCGCTTTTTATCAGGTGGGGAAAACAAACCCCACCGACATTCCGCTAAGTGAAGTAGCAAAGACACAGAAACCCGGACCGAGACTGCGTGGCTCGTTTAAAGTTAACGTTAAGTGACTCCGTGACATCTGCCAGCACACCTGTAAGGCGCTCACCTGAGAAACCAGGAAGTGAAACTCCAGAGGGGAGGGGAAACCATTTGTGGAAACTATAATCAATATAACATCAATAAAAAATATATGTATATGTGTTTGCCTTCATAGTGTGCCTAATTTATTATATATTTTACCGTCAATCTGTTAGCGGCAGGTTCAACTCGCAACAGGTGCATCGAACTTATCAGACAACCCGAAGAGAAAGACAACTAATAATTGAACCGTTGGACGCGGTGGCTTTAGAACACGCGTTGTTAAATCAGCGACAGCAGAAAACGGGGCTCTGTCGTGTTTTTTTGAGCTTTGACCGAATCAAAAACAAGATTACAACAACTTCTCCTCCGTCTGCTTCATAACTTAACGTTAAGACAGCGATGCGGCTAACCGTCGGCTACACCTTAGCATGCTATGTTAGCTCGTTAATTAGGGTCTAATAAACCTCGTCATGTAATATTTTGTGCGGATTAACATTCGGAAGACAAAGACGCCAATAAACGGTGAATGTATAGACAAGAAACGTGTTAACAAGCGGGTTAAAAACTGGTGAAAACTCACATGAACTGTATCCAGACTGGCAACGGTGTCGCTTTAATGCCGCGTTCACATGCTGTCGGACCTGGAAGCAGTGCTCTGGAGAACAGCTGGGGTATAATGTAACTAAGTACTCAAAGCAGATATTCTGAGATACTTTTATTCTACTCTACTACATCTAAAGGGGGGGAATAGTTAATTATTTCCACTTTACTTATATAACTTGAGTACATTTTATATCTTTAACATTTTAAGATCAAAATGCAAGATATTCTCTTTTTCTATTATGCAGCGCTATACTACTAATCCTTCAAATTGTACATATTTAAAATGTTTCCACATTGCTGAACTATAAATAATGATAAACTGATCTTAAATGCTTTATTTGGTAATGAAACACAATGCTACAATAAAATGATAAAACACTTTAAAGGAACCCTTCGCCATTTCTTTTTATGATTTTTGGACACGTGAGGAACAGTACTGTCCTCCCAAAAAATCAACAAATACCCAAAAATGATTATTATTCTTCAGGCACACAGTCAAACAATGTAATAATGTACATATGTGCTGAAATTGATTTTTCCTTGTTGCAGTAAGAAACTAAATTATATATAATATTTATGCCGGTTTACTGTAGAATTAAATTATATTAAAACATAGTTTAAAATATATTCCTTCCTCTCTTTTTCTCCCATATAACAAATATAACTAATACTTGTAAAAAAGATGATCTTAGAATGTGACTAATTGTGAAAACATATTTCCCACATTCTCTGAGCTCCCATTTTTCTGTATTTCTTGAATGCACCAGTGTCACGTGACAAAGATAAACATGGCGTCTTCCCGGAGACCGCTAGTTTGTTTACGCTCCGGGATTTGGAGCTTGTTGTTATACAGTGTTTACACTCATTTGAAGCTCGTTCTGGCAGAGGAGGTGGACAGCTGCGAGAACTTGAGACTCGGACAATATCCTTTAACTATTGTGTGATGACTCAACTCTGATTTAACGGGAGATGAATCGGTAACAGCGGTCGCTAGCGTTAGCCGCAGCTAGCTTTGACGTGTTGACAACCCAGCTAGGTTAGCAGATACAACGTTACTTAAATGAATATTGGTACTGCTGTTTCAAATAGTACGTAACGGTAGTTGAAGACGAATGACGGCAAAAAACATACAACTTCCTTTATTTACAGTTAGTACGTTAACTAATACAACTAATTTCCCAAAGTGCTTTGCCATTGAGGATGGAAACATAAGATTTTTAATGGAGAAATAATGGCTAAATACAATTTATAAAATCATGTAGCCCCCAAATCATTTAACATTTAGTTTGTGTAGACTAAGACATATTAACAAACCATGTTTACTCAGGTTACATCTTTGAACTTCCTGTGTTTTGAAGCATTTCACCACCAGTGTACCAGCTGTTCACACTTTCCCAGTTTCCACATCTGGCCCCCGCCGCTGATGTTTTCCCCAGTCGGTGCATGTAACCCTGTCGCTTCCCTTCTGCTGTTTGGCTCTCCTTCACTCGCCTCATGTATCTCTGCAACGACCCAAAGATCAACAAAGACACGCAGGAGCCGGAGAACTGCACGGGCATGACGGCCTGGGGTGAGTGATCCACGCCGCAGGCCGGATCCCGTCTTCCATCAAAGTATCTTCTTTCTTCCTGTTTATCTCCCTCTCTCTCGAAATAACTTGATTTATATTTTCATTGTCATTGCTGTTCATTCCCTTTATCCTACAGTTGTATTTTTTATTCAAACTACTGCTAATAATTATAAATTCCTCTTAACGTTGTCAGTTTTACTTGTTTTTTCTCTTTGTTCATATTTACTGAACATTATCGGAGTGATTCTGAACAACTTTCTTTTTAATTGTTATGCAAATGACAATGAACATCTGGAAGTTTAATCAAAGTAAAGAATAGAATCATGGAAAACAGATAGCGACGATGTGAAAAGACGTGAGTAGAATACCGAGTGAACAAAAACTAGGATACCGACGAATTAGGAATAAATTTATGACAAGGAACATTGATGGAAATCTGACACCTTCAATAGTTTGTTGTGTGTGTATTTTCTCACAGTGGAGTGCCTTCCAGCTCCGAACATCAGCTGTCGGCTCTCTAACGGGACAGAGTTCAGGTTCAGCGGTGAGGAGGTGGGCTTCAACAAAACCATCCCCTGCAGGAACGTGTGAGTGCTCTAACACACGCACACACACACACACACACACACACAAACACCACCAGCTTCCTGCTGAGAGGATGAACTATCGCTTGTCGAATCTTTTGTTTATTTTAGCATTTTCTATGCCATGTGCAGGATGTGGAAATGATTGTTGTTATGGTCCTTTTTGTTTCAGCATTATAATTGTAATCGTCGTTATTGATCGCTGTGGAAATAATAATTTTGATCTCCCCTCCCAGGAGTGGTTATTCCTACAAAGTAGCTGTGGCTTTGTCTCTGTTCCTTGGCTGGCTGGGGGCAGACCGCTTCTACCTGGGATACCCTGCTCTAGGTACACATGTGCACCCCAACACACACACACACAAACAGACAGGTAGGAGCCATCTAGTGGACGCCAGAGGACCTGCAGCTCCAACGCCTCCAGCTGCAGTCCTCTCCTCCTCCTCAGGAAGTCTCAATGTGAGGAGGAGGATGGGGTTGCAGCAGTTTCCACATTTGTGTTTTTCTCAAATTCTCAAGAGTACACGATCAGACGATCGACCATGATAACAAGGAGGAGTTATTGGTATTATTATATTATTATCAGCAGAATGAGTCCTTCTTTTAATGAGACATCTGCAGCAATATAAAGGGCTGAAAGGCTGTGTGTGTGTGTGTGTGTGTGTGTGTGTGAGTGAGTGAGAGAGAACACCTGGCCTGATTCGGTCATTCAAATTTAAAAAGCTCCGACTTCTTTTTGTGCACAGGTGGAACTTTTGGCTCAAACCTGAATCTTGGCTTGAGATGTATTCATCTAGTGTGTATTAGTTATTAATTACACCTAGCTGACATGCACTAATGATTACTTTTACTACTGGTGAATTGTAGAAGGTTTCCTTGGTGAATCAGTTGATTGTCTTGTTTGGTTCAAACCACCATTCCAGAACCTGGAGATGAAAAAAGTAAAGCAGAAAATGATTTTATGCACATTTTATTTTTGATTTTATGCACTCGTCTGATTATCAGAATGAAGTTTCAGTTAGATGACCAGCGACAGATTCCTCAGTTTTAACGCGGGACATCACAGATGGAAACGTGATGGAAGTCATCTATAAGTCATAAGTTTGATATCATCTCTCTCTCTCTCTCTCTCAGGACTGTTGAAGTTCTGCACCGTTGGCTTCTGTGGAATTGGTACTCTGATCGACTTCATACTGATCGCCATGCAGGTGAGTCACAAACCCAGTCGGATGCCGGTTAGTTTGGCAGTCCACTGATTCCTTATATGGTTAATAATGTATTTTTTAGGAAGAGGATTGATTTCAGCGTGACGCACGGCCGAACAGCTTCACATTATTAGCCTAGCAGCAAGGCGGGCACGGGAGGGGGCTGATGAATAAACACCGATTGTTTCTTCCCTCCATCTGCCTTGCAGCACCGCCCCCCCTCCGAGGGCCGCAGGATGAGCGATGCTTCCTGAACTTCTCTAATGGTCTCTGAGAGGACAGAGAAAGATGGATGGGGGGGAGGGGGAGACGCACAAATTACTCCTCTCTCTTCAAACGTTTGAGATAATAGAGGCCGCCGATCCATCACGAGGAGGTGCTGGGGGGGGGGCAACAGTGGACCGGCGCCCGATCAAATCAGGGCAATTCATTTTGTCTTAATCCCCACCTTAAAATACTCACCCGTTAGTCTTTTGGGGAACAAATCATAATATTTATGTAGCAAGAAAAAAGTCTGGCAACTTCTATTACAAACATATTACATGTGTTCTTCCCTGCTGGTGTTATTTCTCGCCTGTGTCTGACACGTCCCCCGTCTCTGGTGTCCTGTGTGTCCCCCTGCAGATCGTGGGTCCCGCTGACGGGTCAAACTACATCGTGGATTATTACGGCGCCCGGCTGACCCAACTGTCCATCACCAACCAGACGTACAGGAAGCCACACCTGTCTCTGTGAAGCCGTGAGTTCACTGCAGAGCCACCGTCCAGCAGCCTGTGATACTCTACACAATACACGCATCTGTACTTTATTCCACATTCATGTCAGACAGAAAGAGGTTGACAGCAGGAAAATCGACATTTTCTTTGCACTCAGAAAACACATTTTAGAGCGCTCGCTTTATTCCTGAATCAAGGCTTCCTGTGATGAGTTTTCACAACTCAACCCCAAAATGTGTCTGCTCCCACAGCGTCGAGAGTACAGACACTTGATTCAGAAAGAATAAGTTCAAGGTCACACGCACACACACACCCCTCTCATGGGAAGCAGTGGTTAAATATCAGTGTAAAGTCAACATGAGGAAGGTTTCTCAGGGAACAAAGGAGGTCAGCTGGATGGAGAATACCCCTCGTCTCGCTTGGAGCTGCACATACATACTAACTGGTACCTACTTATTAGTACTAAGTACTAAATAAGTATTTCCTTTAGAACTCCACCACATGTCACTGTACAATCTGGTACTCCTTTCTTTCAATCGTTTTATTTTTACTACATTCAAAAAGTAAATCAAACCAAATTATAAATAAAAAAAGATGCAGAAAAAATACATACATCATCATCCTTCACTTTGACACTTAACAAGAAAGAAACACTTAGTTAAACCACACATTGCCTTCCGCAACACATATTGTGAACTTTTCCCTCCGGGCCTATATATATAATATATATATATTATAATATATATATTATATATGTGTATATATATATGTTATATATATATATAATATATATATATATATATATATATATATATATATATATATTATATGGAGAGAGAGAGAGAGAGCGCACCTTTCTAAATACCCAAAGACGCTGTACATCAGGCAAACAGAGACAGGATGAAACAAAAAGACAAAAATGACGACCGAGAAACAAAAAAAAACAGGGTTCCAAACGGAAAATGGCATCAATGTTTCCTCTGAGAACATATAGAAACAATCTGCTGCTTGGAATAGATTCCATGTATCAGACAGTTGTATTCACAGTAAACAGATAAACACTCAAATGTTCTATTGTTGAGGATTCAACTTCAAGTTTTACTTTACAGTTTATTTACAGTTATTTATAGCATAGAATTGCTCCTTGTACCTCTTAATGAAAGATTCTTGTACACAATGTTCAATATGTGCTTTAAATAAGATGTGTTCATGTTCTTAACACATGAGGTAAACCATAGATACAATTAGTTTGGTTATATTCTGTTAAATTGTTTGCATTAATTATACTATACTAAAATAAAAATATTTGACGTTTTGGGCTGAAACCTGAAGGATCTTAAATCTAAATCATTTGCTACTGACATGAAAAGGATGAATATAACAATGTGAAGTCACTATAATAACTATTTTCTCTTCAGGTCCATCATGCAAACACAGACTGCAGGACCTGACGTTGATAAATGGACCGTTTAAGGACAAAAGTTATTGAAAGTTGCTTCAACCCGAACCTTCAGGCCCGTTCGCTCCCAAACTGTTCACCTTCACATTTTGTCATTTAAGTCCTATTTCTGTCTTTACGTCTGTTCAGTTTTCAGTTTTATTCAATGTGATTTAGTTGTAATGTATTTTGTATTATTATTGTGATGTTTTGCTGCTCTTTGGTCTTTAAGTTATGATGCTGTTCCACAATAACTGTCTTTGTTAATAAAAAGTTCATTTTTGTGTTAATCTACACTTCACGGTTTTTATTAAACATCGCCGTTGTGTTGAAGTTGACACGCTGAGGATTTGCGGTTTGCTTTGATGTTTTTTAGTTACTTAATATCTTACTTTATTTATCATGTGACTGGACTCTGTTATAGTTTTTCCTTTTCTTATTGGTCTTTATCAACACTTGTATGTTGAGGATACTCACTGGCACCACGGATATAATTAAACACTGCGTACATTAAACACTGCTCTGAAGTGAAGATGGTAAATCTCATCTATTTTCCCATTAAAATCCAAATCATGACGTAAAAAACTTTTATGGAACATCGTGAACACGAGAACCGTTTCTTTGGTTTAGACTTTGTGCACAAACACACACACAAGCTGCATACTGTGTGTGTGTGCGTGTGTGTGTGTGTGTGCGCGCGTGTGTTGGCAGCCATGTGGCTTTCATCAAAATTCAATTATCATACTGTACAATGCTTCACAGGACACATGCACACACTCCCACACTCCCTCCCCCCCCCCACACACACACACACATGTCCAGTAGAATGCAGAAACAGGGAGTGTCTTAATAGTTTCAGTATGGTTCTTCTCACTGCCAACCGGTACGTGTCTGTGTGTGTGTGTGTGCGTGTGTGCGTGTGTGTGTGTGTGTGTGTGTGTGTGTGTGTGTGTGCGTGTGTGTGTGTTTTATGATGTATATCGTCTGGGGTTAAAGGTGGAATGCAACACACCCAATAAACACACACAGTTCAGTCCCTTTTTAAAATCAGCGCTAACGTTCTCTAGCTGTTCATTGATCCCCCTCTTCAAACATCCCTAGAGGAGAACCCAACATATAAAAGTTGAGAAGAAGACCTGAGTGATGTGCAGTAGCGTGACGCGTGGTGGATTAAGCCCAATTAGGATTTACTATTACTATAAATGAACGAGCGGCCTGGAGAAACAAATGCGTTCACACAACCACCACATTTCAGCCAGCATTCCTGTGTTCGCCCCGCGTCCTTTTTTAGGAATCAACGGAGGCGGAAAAGCGTCTGGCGATCACTAAAGACGCACTGATCGATGTCTGGTATCAAGTGGTGGTAATAAAAACAAACCAATCTTTAAATCATCCACTCATTTCAAATGAAGAGTTTTCCCGCGAGCTGAAACTCTAGTTTCAAGTTTCTTCAATACGGGATTCAAACAAAAACCAACGTGGCGAAACCAACGCGGAGACGTAATCCAAGATGGCCACGGCCTCAAACGGCGTTCTGTGAACCGGTGAGCCGATGACTTTAGACATGTAGACATTAAAGGACAAACACACTCGGGCGATTGGTTCTACTTGTGTCTTTCTTCTTTCTCAAATGTCCATATTGTCTTTTCATGTCCCCGTAGGTACGAGACAAAACATTTGAATAATAATCAGCCGGGTTTGTATTTTGGGTGGTTGATAGGGGGCTAAACACACACACGGCGTCGGCACGGGGAACACAGAAGGCATGAAATTACAGTTGCGTCGGTCGGAACGGAGCGCAGCAGGAAACCTCAGCGATAAGGAGGTGTGTGTGTGTGTGTGTGTGTGTGTGCGCACACTGTGTTTGTGTGTGTGCTGGAGGGGGTCTACCAAATAAAGAAATCCCAGAGCGCCCGTCTTTCCCCCACTCTATAATCCTGTCTGCTCTGTGTGTGTGTGTGTGTGTTCATTTGAACTGTCAAGCCTGGTGTGTCACCAGATAAGTCAGTTCAATATTCACACTCGGTCTGTCACTGGGTGGCACTCACAGCTCAGCTGCACGGCGTGTGTGTGTGTGTGTGTGTGTGTGTGTTTTACAAATTATTCAAACAAATATTTGAAAATAAAATTGTTTCTCGTCTCAAAAAGTGAAAAGATCATGTCAACATGAATCAATGTGGTGATGTGAGGTTGCATTTCTACACGTGTGGCCTCGGTTTGATTCAGCGGTTAACAATTAACAAGACAGAGAAAAAAGAAAGACTCACGTGAAGGGAAACATAATAAAAACCGTCAGAAAAGCCAAGTGAGAAAGAAAGAAAGAAGAAGCACTTACGTGAATGAAAGAATGAAACCAAAAGGTTTTATATAGAAAGCATTTTGATAATAATGTCTGATAAAATAACATTGACATTTCACTTGTTCAACCCAAAAGTAACACGTGTCTTTAATACCTTCATGTATCAATTTGGAGACGTGAAACACAGTTTTTCTAAGAAATAAATAATAAAGAACTGCAGGATGAAACACGAGCGCAGATCTACGAACACGAAGACGGCGCGAGCAGAGCGAGACGCCTCATGGACCAAAGGGACCGTGGAGACGTGAAGAAGAACGTCTCGCACACTTACATGAAGACAGGAGGCCCGGCCTGTAAATGAAGGTGAGTATCGGGGGAGACGGGGGAGACGAGAGCATGTGGAGGGAGGAGAGAGTCACCATGACTTGAGATAATAAGAGAGGAGGGGATGAGAGGAGGAGGAGGGTAAGTTTCCTCCCCACGGGAGACGTCGACCTGTCAGAGTAAATGTCTCCTCTGCAGGGAGATAAAATCATATTAAAAAGATCAGGCGCTTTAAATCTCGACCAGCTCCTCTGTTTGAAGAACCTTGAAGGAGACCAAGGAGGAGGATTATCAGCTCTTCGTCAGGAAACTCCTCCTAACGGATTCTGGAGTTTTCAACTCAACTCATGCTGATATCAGAGTCCTGAGAGGGACTCACTGGGCTTTGGGTTTTGGTTTCACATTGCAGTGTGCTGAAGATCTGTAGAAGACAAACCTGCATTCTGTCGCCGCTAAAGGTTTATAGTGTTGGAATGGAAATGGCTGTAAGAAAATAACTCCACTTCTCACCACTATGAATGTATTGTCTGAATGTCAAGCTTCAAGTCTTCTTAATGAAGCATGATGTTCATTGAGTAAATAAAGGTCCATTTAGTGTCAAACAGACCATAAAGCAGGCTATGCTTTAGGGCGGGGCTTTGTGATTGACAAGTCGCTGCTATTACCAGAACTGTGTCTCCGCGTCACTTATCCGCACTACAAATATGGTAACTGTTCATTGGTTGCAGACAACAACATGGCGGCACTTCACACCGATCCTTCAAGCTAACTTAATATAGAAAACCTCCAAATAGCAGTTTTACCGTGAAGAAGAGAACACGACTGCGATGGCTGCAAATTCATGCATCGATCAACCTCCAGCAAACGCACACACTTACACACCTGCTGAAGGCCTGCTCCCATTGGCTGAGCATGGAGGTGGGTGTGGTATTGATCAGAAACACCAGCAGCAATTATATGACTTCACACTGAGCCAGGAGCTCATCACTATTCACAGTGGAGAGCAAACACACACACGCACACACACACACAGACACACACCACTCTTTGATTAATGCTAATTTGTGTGTGTGGACGTGGAGCGCCTTAATCCCCCCGTCTAATTGGTCTTTCATTGTGGCTGAGGGGCGATCAGGGGGCGTGTCCGTGGCCCTTCGTTAAGGTGGGGTCCCCGTGGTTACCGCGGCTCAACGTGAATGGATGAGACGACCGCAAGGGCGACACCCAAATTGGCAAAACTTCAATTCCTTAAAAGCTGGATGTTAAAAGTTTTTTGGGCCACATTTGAGGAGCAAAACACAACACTGACTCATCATCCCCTTGTAGTTCAACTTGATCTGTCATTAGGAGTCATGTTCGGGTCCTGTTTTCTCTCTCTTCTGGCTCTGCTTTTGGTCTCCACACTGAGCACAGCCCAGGAACCGCACAGATCTTCAAGCAATTTATTTTGCTTTATTCACTTTGGGAAGATTTCAAGCGGCTCACACCTTCCGCACAAAACACAAGTATCAACGGGGAAAGAAAAGGCCCATTTAACCGTGACAAAGGCAGCACAGGCCCCCCTCTTCTGCTCTTACCTTTCACCCTAAAACTCTAATAAGAAGCTGTTCAACGTTTTGCAATAACCGGATATGTAGGATTTCTTGTGTTTAACCCATTTAACCGGTCAGACAGTGATCCAAAAGCTGTCTTTGAAGCTCAGACGCGTTCGACTTGCATAATCCGGCCTGGCTGCGTGTGTCCGTCCTCTAAACCCCCCTCTGCCATTTCCACGGCTCACAGCACCGCCTGCAGCCATGTGTCCGTCAGGCCGGTCCTCCCTGCGGCCCCGGCTCCTCATTAACCCCGCCCACGCTGTCCGTCTGCTCATTATTCACTGGCTGCTGGGGATGCAGGTGTTCACAGTGCAGACAACACAAACTGTCGCCAGTCAGGGACCTCTTGAAACACAACAGCTTTTTATTAGTGAAAAACACAAACACGGTTTTACTGTTTATTTGTATACTACTTTTGAGAATACTATTATTTTTCCAATGCAGTGCTGACGTTTTGTAATTACTTATAGCAATATTATATTATATTTAGCTTGTATGGTTCTACCAAATGCGTGACAGTTAGGACTGTTTTCACTTTCAGAAACATGTAAACTAATAAAACGGTGGAGTTCTCCCATCCTCTACCTCCTGTACCAAAGACCACACCTTGACTTTTACTAAATAGGTTGCTTTTAAGTACACTCTCATTTCATCAGTACCATAAAATACACTTTTACTGCCATGCAGAACTCCCAAAGCTTGTTCTTGTTATTAGCTATATAAGAAGTGGAAAGCTGCTGAGACATCACCACTGTTTTGATGAGGGATCATTTGATCTCTTGAGTTTGGCATTAAAGCCATCGCCATCTTGGTTTTTGGATGTCGCCATTTTTTTTCTGCAAGCAGAAGTAGAACCAACTAGACAAAATAAACAAACATCAGGAATTTTACAAATGACTATCATGAACTGAAAACACACAACAAACACAAACAACTCTAAGGTCTAAGTCAAGTGTGAAGGCAGCTTTGGACTGGAAAAATGTGGGAATATTCCATAAAAGTCAGCTGGAGGGATTTGTTTGAAGCATCCAAAAAATAGAAAAACTTACTGGAACATTTTCGATGGGTGTTGTGTCCGAGGTGCTGCGTGTACAAACCATAGACTTTGTATAAGAAGTGAACGTATTGTCTCTCGTTTTAAAGCCTTGAGTTTGCTGATCTTAGCGTCGCCATGTTGTTTTTACTACCAATGGACAGAAGTTACCACATTTGGAATGTGGAGGAGCGACGCCGTATACGGCTCTGGTGATAGACACCTGTCTATCACAGTGACTTCATGGTCAATCTGACTCTAAAGAGACAATCATTCACAAAATGAACATCGTTCTGGATTTTAATTTGACTTGTTTACAATTGACAATGTTGACAATGTTTACTGAGGGAGCACATCACTCGTGACATCCAAAAATCACTATGTCCTGACCGCAACACACACTTACAACAACTCTAGTGGACCCAGAACTAGATCTAATTTCTATTTCCAAAGTCAACCCCGTGATTCCAGTTTTGGTCCCTCTTTCTCGAGCTTGATTAATACAGATGTAACTACAAAGTGTGACACCGAACCTTGACGGGAAACCTTTGCACAAACCAGACACGAGGAGCACATTCAACTAGAGATCGACTATTGAAATCTCCACCAAGAATTGATCAATGGGGCTCCAATGCTGCCGTGGCAGGTGAAGGAGAAACAAAGGAGGTCCACGTGCTCTTGTCACTGCAAACCTGTTACTGCTCTCCTCCACATGTCACTCATTGTTCCATCCGCCCAACAAGGGAGTCACTTCAGGTGTGGCCAAAGGACAGGACTGAAACACATCATCCTCCCGCCTCAGGCTCAGCGTTAAATGAAATGATCCTCGATCACTGTCAAATAATTAGGCGGTTTAGATGTTGTGTGATGGTTGAAATGCCATTTATTCATAGTTGGTTTGGCTCAGTTGGTCTCGTGGCCATTGCTGTAAAAGTCCTCATCTCCATTTCCTCTCACCTGTTACATCTTTTTTCTTCCATCATTGCATTAATTTGCTCGGTCGATAGCCTTGAATCAGGAAGCAGCTGCTGAGGAAAGCCTCATTACAAACGGATCAGTCTTGGGGTTTTTGGTATGCGCACAGTTTTGTGTGATTTCCGTTCATTTGATTTGATCCTCTGGTTTGACAAAATGAAAAAAAAACGTTTTAATTTGGATCAAAAAATCATTTTGAGGGTCAAGAAAGGAAGATACACTTTTCTTTATCTTCCTTTGCTTGGCTTATTGTTTCAGTGTTAGTGCTTTGACTCTAGTTTAGCTCTAGCATTATCCTACACTTCATTTCAATAGCTTCCAGCTTCAACACCAACGTGTATTTACCTTTACATTTGCCCCTTCACAGCCTTTCAGTGCACTCTGTGGGTGTGTAAACTGCAGCAGTCACTTCAACTATAGTGCTTATGTTTCAACTGACGCTTTTACTGATTCATCGCGCACTTCAACTACACTTCCACTGCCTTTCAACAATTGTTTCAGCTGAAACTTGACATAACATCTTTTCGTAATACTCAACAAATGACTCTTAACTTTCCTCGGGTGAACAGTCAGCAAGTCAGTGCTTTCACTATTTTTAATATTACTAAAACCATTAAAAGCTAAATAGTCACAGCTCATAATCTGGCCCTTCACACTATCACATCCGGGCTGCGCTGTGTGGATTCAAGGTCTTCCCTCTGTGCTTGGCTGACAGCAGATCACTATAGTTTATGTGTGATATTGTGTGTATCAAAACTCTAGTGATAAACTGACCATGAAAAAATGAGTTTTTTTGAAAATTAATTACTACAGAATCCCTTTTGATAACACAATACTTTTATTCTTGAATATATGTAGGACAGTATTGTGTAAAATTAAACGAACTTAGCCCCTAAATGTATGCCAACAGTAAAACAAATAATATAATTAATGTGTAAAATGAAATGAAACGTTCTATCATGGACGGCCATGATAAAAGCCGTACTCGGAGGAATGAAGGGTTGGGCGCACACGTGTGTGTCAGAGGTCGTTCCCTGATTCAACCTCCACTCCAGTGATGCAGCATTTGTTTCCACACGGATGCATCCAAATCATTCGACATTCTTACAATGTCTGAATATTTTTTTTCAAACGAGGGGCTCAATGTGAGAACCCAGCAGTCATATCAGTAGTATCAGTCAGTATAATCACTATTATTAGCTACCGCTTAGTTACAGGGTGGGGTTTTGCCTCAAGTTCATTTTCAAAGTCTGACCTGCTGACCTTTAGCATGTTTGCTGTGGGCTGTCACGGTGTGGTGCACTTGTCTTATTTTGTAGTTTTCTGCCACTCGCGTCCCCGGGTAACTTCACTTTGTCGGATTGTTTCCACCTGTGTCCGATCACTTGCACCTCCCTGCACCTCCCGGTCTACCGTCTGGATGTTCCAGGTCTCTGCCTGCCTTTTTGTCCCCGGTTCAAGTGTGTGTTTTTCCCCGTTGGCCTTTCACTTTGTGGGAGTTTTTGACTATTAATGTATTTTTCGTTAAAAGTCTGCGTTTGAGTCCTGCCTTCCTACCCAACCCTGACATGGGGAGCATATCAGGTAACTCGTGTGTGCGCGTGTTGTGGAAAGGCGATGCCTGGTGTTGGCGGCTGGCTGAATTATTCACGCTCCTCTGCGGTCGTCTCCCTCCCTGAAAACTGAGAGGAGGCGATGGCGAGGCGGGCCCCCGCCCTCCGTCCAGCACGCAGGGGGGAATCTGATCCCAGCCGACAAAACAGCACCACGCACACCACTGCTGGGGGAGGAAAGAGGGGACAGGGGGAGAGGAAGGACCGAGAGGTGTGGAAACTCACGGGAGAGAAGAGCAGGTGTCTTTGCTTCTTTGAATACTTTGAGGGTCACGCTCTGCCGATACAGGCGGCCTTCAGTCAGCTGTGCGCCCGTCAGGAGGAACAATGTTGACCTGTCAGTGAACCAACCCGTCAGTCTGTTCCCCCACGTAGATTATTGTCACGCCGCGCTGTCCAGTAAACTGCTGAACCGCTGTACGCCGGCCGTTAAGTGAAATTTAAGAGGTCTTGCACATTTTGCAGATATAATCGTCCTCTCAGAGACAATAACGAGCGTCACCTTCAGAACAACCAGACTGAGACGCTCGACTCGTGACAACAGCTCTGCGAGGCTGCAATCGCTTTGAGCTAAATCCTAACATTAGCATTAGCATTAGCTAACATCCTCACGATGTCTAATTAGCAGTAAAAACAAAGTGCAGCCGAGGCCGATGTGAATCTAAACTAATTGGATACATTAAAGTCCCACCAGAGTGACTAAGTCATGAAAGAATAACTATTGGTTACTACCAATTTTTCCCAAATTGAGTTTAGATCTTTTCACTGAAACCCTGAAATGTCTCTGAAGCGAGAGGAAAGGTTGTTTGATCACTAAAGCCATTGGGCTTCATTGTCATTAACAACATTATCTGTGCCAAATTCTGTGCTAATCCAACTAATGATTTTGGAGATATTTCATTTAATCCCCTTTTCAGAGCCACTTTGCTAGCGTGGCCAAAAGCCTGCGTTTCTCTGAAGACAACATCAATATTGTTGACCTGGTTGAAGAAATTATACTTTTTCAACACGTTCAGCTTGTCTGGTTAACCGCGAATAACTGCTGCATTTACAGCAGTAACCAGCACCAGATCGTCTCCGTCCAAACAGCGGACACCGAGGAGAAAACCAAGGCCATCTGCCAGTTTTGGCAGCTTTAAGCCAGTTCTTGCCCAGCTAGAGAATCACCCTGGCAGCTTGATCTAAAATGAGATGACTCAAATACACGTACACTATTAACTTATTAATGAATACACAGCAAATATAATCCTTTTGAGAGATTTGAATGTCCTTTTTCTCATTTTTCTCTCTGGTTTGCTCTACTTCATCCACTGGAGACATCCCACAAATTCTTGGTATTCAATACCGCACGCACACACACACAGACACACATTTTCTGTCTGCATGAGGACGGCTGACCTCAGCAGATCTGGGCCGATTAGCGCTGGAGTGTTTCTGTTAGGACGCAGATGAAAGGCCGATTGAACACAGCGAGCAGCCAGGGACAGGGATCTACCTTTGGGGAACATCACACAGCAGCAGTCTTTGAGCTCCATGGAGAGCTGGGTGGGATTAAACCAGCCAACAATCCTGGGAAAACACCGCTTGAAATGTACTGTAGTCAAACTCTATTCCCTGGGTCCATGCAGTGTAACTTCAATGCTTACCTGCAGATTTCATGCGCTTGTACTCAGTTTATTTAAATGATTGTCATGCATTTACGAATAAACTTAAATTTGTAAATAAATGTTAATTGACAACTGTCAAGCTTGAAAGCTTTTTTTTTCTAAACTATGAATAATCTCAAACTAAAGTCAGCCACAACAGACCTCTACGCTTCATTCCTGAAATGTTCAATTCTGGACACCACGTCACTGTACGACAAATAAAAATACACACATGAATGCAAGGGAGAGACAGTCAATAGAGCATTAGCATCTTTATTTTTTTGTCGTTGTTGCATAGGAAATGCACATCTTGCTTCCAGTAAATGGAGTCTGCGTGGACATGGGATCACCAATGGGGCCAAGTGACGGGCCAACACTTCACCAGTTGAAAAAAAAAACAATAACAGTCCTAAAGGGAAGAACACAACAAACAAAAAAACAGAACAACAGAGTGACAAGAACTGACAATCAAGAGTCACAGCTTCAGAACAAAAGCAAGAACAACAATGGCACCGGACACAACGGATGGGAACTAGTTAACATTGAACAAATATGTAACACCGGATCGCGGAGCGGTGCAACGTCGGCGTCGGCGGCAGCAGAAAACACCGCCCTGTCCCATAAAAGAGTCGTAGAGGCACAAGGTTTAAGTTCGTTCTGGGTGAGGATGAGAGTGAGGTCGATGGTCAGGAGGCGACGGGTTTCCGTGGTAATTTGGGCGGTGAGAAGGGGGGATGATGGGATGTGTTGAGAATGTGTGACTCAGACTGCAGCAGGACGGGCGCCCGGGAGGAAAAGATAAAGATAAACTCTCTTCTTTTGAGATTGTCATGGGTTAGCTATAGTTAGCATAGCCTCCAGAGGGTTGGATGGAAGACAACAAGAAAATGCTAATCGAGACGATTGATTATCGGTATTGCTGACCGGCTTGAATATTCAGAACATCGACAAGAGAGAAATGCGAATGTGGGCAGTTCCAGGTCAAACGCAGTGACTAAAATGACTTCTGGATGCTAAAATGTTTAACTTTGTTCAGAAGGGCCAAAGGTTTGGCCTTTAGACAGTGAAATCATTTTCAATGACTATTCTCAGATTAAGAATTTTTACCAGAAACATATCGTGGAATTTCTGTACTGGTATAGTTTCTTTGAGCTATTGGCTAATAGTTAAAGGTACTACATAGTGGCTGGCATGGTTTTTCAGTTGGACACTATTAAAAGTAGAAAGTATTTACTATTTGAGGGGTTTGAGGAGACCGGCTCAGTTAAAGGGCTGGGAAGAAACTGTAGATCTCCCATCAGAAGTAGTGGAGAAAACATGGGGACTATGAAAAACACTGCAGCTTGCTCTGACAACTAGTGGCAATGTTAAGCAGAACTTGCTACACACTCCTGTAGCAAAACAGTCTGGTCATCAGCAAAGTTTGTCATCGCAAAAGTTTTCTTCCCTAAAGGAGACGCACAAGTCAAAGAGACTGTTTGGTTTCAAAGACCCGCATCGACAGGTTGCGAGTCGAACAGAGAGAGGAGCCACTGGAGCCGAGCTAGACAAGCCGATCGACCCCAGCTGGCCGGGGAAAGTGGGGGGTGAGAGCCTGACACTGTGTTGTTGGGGGGGGGGGGGGGGCTTATGCAGGGGGTCGCGGAGTTTCCCAAGTGCCGGCTACCTCTACCTTTCGCTCTCTATAACTCTCTCATCCTGGAGGAGCGGGCGGCCCGTTTGAAGTCCAGTCGAGGGAGACGCAGTGGAGGCTCAAAGAGGAGGGAGGGGGGATTCTGTCCCGGATAGTGCTGAGCACTGCAAAAAAAAGCAGATATCGATTCGATCTCCTGCAGGAAACTGCCCGGGGAGGAGGAGAATAAGAAGGAGCACTCACCCAGAGCCCCCTGCAAAGATTTCTCAGTCTGCTGGTCAATGGACGCGAGGGGAGAGGAAGGGCGGGTCACAGGGAGCCGGACCAGCCAGGTGCTTGCCGATGTTAAAAGTTAGCTGGAGATTGTCGGATGAAAAAAGAATAACCCGAGAGGCGGCGGCTGTCCGCCGATTGCCCCGGGGCAGTCATCATGGTGGCACACCAATCAAATCGATGGCAATAAACCAACACGCGGAGGTGTTCAGTGGCGTTTTCATGTCGGGGATGAAAGAGTCCCATGTGTGAGGATGGACGGATGAAGGAGGTGAGCAGAAAAAGGTTTGAGGCATAAAAAAAATAAAGAAAAGAAAGAGGAACCAAGAATAGTAACAAAACAATCTGGTTTTTGTAACTTTTTTGTGTGTCATTGTAACAGTTTACTAGGCGATTATGGAAGAGCATGCAGTTACATCTTATGATTATTGTACATCAGCTATAATCAGAGGGGCCTGACAGACAGCAAAGGCTACTGGTGGTCAGAAATGTCAACAGTTACAAACAATTATTATATTCGGTTTTCAGAAGAGCATTATAATACAGGTTTTCACAGGCACTACATTTGATCTTTTTAAATATATCATGTAATATGCTGGTTCTCTTTTATTTTTCATTTATTTTTCTGATTTTGTCGAGGGACTCGTTCGGTCCGTGGAAGCTGGGATCTGGAAAACGCAAAGACGGATCGTAAAAGAAGGCAAAGGCCGACGTGTCTCATAAAGTTAGATACCAAAGTCCCCGTGGGCGGCGTGCACGCGGCTCACGCGTGGATGTCTCGTTTTGAAGTCAGTGCATAGTTCTCATGCAGATTAGACTGCTATGCGCTGATACGCTATCGGGGAAGCATGATGGCGGCAAGCTTTTGCCAGCTTGCTTCCTCTTCACTGGCTTGATTCAACAATTAGCACCGTGTGATGGTTTTGCAACAGGATAAATAAATATCTTTGCACAGAACAGTAATTGATTACAGTTGACTGCTGGAGAGCAGCTTCAGTGTTACCTGCCTCCCTGTCCAATGACTTTCCTTCATCCCTATGAAGGGCTGCCATTGAGACTCATATGCACACTCCGTCGCGCTGAAGGATGTCCTTTCTACTGCCCTGCTGTTGCCGAAGACAACTACAGGGTTTGACTCGACAAAAAAAAATACCCTGGTTCAAAGCCTGAAGAATTCTGCCCCTCTTCACGTTTAAGCAGCTCAAATTCAATTACTTTAATGCCCCATTCAAAAAACGGGGGTCTCGAACAGCGGTCTGGGGTGATGGATTTGTCTCTCCGGGTGAGGTGCAAGGGGCTGATCTGAGCCCCGGGAGATTGTGGATAAACGTGAAAAACAAAAAAGGCGCTAGCATGAAAAAGCTCAGCATTCGTTCAACTCTGTTTCCTTGTGGAGCGGCAGAATTCCTCAAAGGTGAAATTCCTCAAAACATCAAGTCTTGGCGGGGAGTGCGGTGGGGGGGAAAGGCAAGGGCTTTGACTCCAGCTCTAGCTAATAGCGCTGGTTGGGCGAGCGTTGGAGTTCTTTAGATTCAGGGTGAGCAGAGTAATGTGTTGCGGCTTTGAGTCACTACTCATTTTGCACTTTTTCACTTCTATTTGCACCTGAAAATGATATTCCAAACGAAACCCTTTTGGAAATATCCCCTTCCTTACAAAATAATGGTTAGTTCCTAACATTCAGAACCAGGTTGCATTTGATGGTGTCACCATTACATCAGATAGCAACATTTTAGAATCCTTTAGCAATATTAAATGTACATAAACCCAAAATAACATACCGTACTGCAACCAATTTTTTGTTTTTTTGAAAATAGGCCTGGCAATGCAACATGAGTTTGAAAGGATGGAGGCAGTTTGACCACACTAGACGTGTCTGAGTCCCGTTTTTCAGTCGTTCACTTTCCAAGCTAGAAGGTTTAGCAGAACAGATTGGCAAACTGGGACTATTTTACATTTTTGTTCTGTTTATCTACAAAATGATTTTTATAATTAGATTATTTTAAGTGATTTAATCAAAGCAAAAACAAATCACAGGTTCCAGCTTTGCTAATGTAAAAATATTAATATATTAATAGAGTTTAAATCTTTGGATGTCTTGGTATGGCACCATCTGGAGGCCTTTTCTGCTTTAAAGACGTTCTAAATAGATAATAATTGAACAATAACGCAGAATCGATAAGGAGGATTGGCCGAGGAAAATGTCCAGTGTAACCTTGATGAGCACCTAAAGGAGCTACTGCTACTCTGCGGTTTAGAGCACCTCACCTTAGAATATTCATTGAGGTAAGCGAGGAAATGAGCAGAAACTTGGATCATACCGGAAATACGGTTCGTGACGGTGACTTGACGTACCTCAGCCGGTTATCTGCTGCATGAATGTGATGCAATGATGGAGCAGCGGTGGATGTGCGGATGGACAGAGATCAGAGTGGACCTCCAGGCTGAGGGGGGGCCGGAGGAGGAGGACGGAGGAGAAAGAAGTGGAGGCGAGGTTGATATTGTGGGCCAGTGAATAAAGAAACGGATGGAAAAGAAAAAGAATCATGTTGCATAATCAAGCTGTTTATTTTCCTGCATGGAATGGTGAACACAAAAAAGATGCCTAAATGCATTTATAGTAAGGGCATCCTTTGGCTGGCTATGTCATTGTCTCCTGCCTAAAAACTAAATTTTTAAATGCATAAAAAAAACCTTGCTTTTCTTACCAATTTTCCTCAGAATTACCTAGATGTAGCTTCATCAACACTGATGCAAAAAATAACCTTCAAAACATACAGCATACTGTAACATCCATTTACAATGGTCTTATCACCATAGCGCCCCATACTTTTTAAGTACAGGAATATGCTATACCATCAACAAATGTCCTTAAATACATACAAAAAGGAAAGCAAAAATGAAGAAAAGAATTAAGGAAAAGTAAGGAAACAGGAAAGTTTTCAACTTAAATCCAGTTCCTGGAAAACAAACCAAACCAATTCTAGTAATGTGGCCTCAATACAAACAATCAGAAAATTCACAACACTAGTTTTTCCTCATTGTATCAATGTTACAAAAGTCCTGCATTATAAAATAGGGCAGCTTTAAAATCAGTGTAATTAATAAAACTATACAACATACAAACACGTCTCCCAGTGGGGCCTAGTGGCCCTGCTGCTCTGCCCTCCCGTCCATTAAGAGCTAACTCTTCATTGCGTCTCTTCGCTGCTGTACCAGAACTAAATTACACACACAACACAAGAACAAAAAAACACACTGCCCAAACTATTGCTTTTATATTCTTTTTCATTTTTTTCTTTCTTTAAAAAGGGTGCAATTTTGTCATTATCTTACACACAACCCAGCCAAAAGTCGCTGATTAGATGCTAGGCTGTTTCACAAGGTTTTTGTGACACTTAAAAAAAAATGTCCGTGCAATTTTTTTCTGAATTCCCTTTGCTCTTTTTAAGCTGTTTTTAAATTTTTTTTTTTACGTAATACTTTTTCACTATTGTCATTTATTTCATATTTAGTGCAGATAATTAAGGAACTAATGCCCAACTCATGGCTAAAGGGTAGGCAAGAAAAGAGACGAAAACAGACATGTCACACTAGGAGGAAACACAACCCACACAAGTGCAAACTACTAAACCATCACAGCTGACGGCGTCACGGCGCTGTCCATCACATTTGAGACGAACTGAACACAGAACAGGTAAACAATTTATTCACTAAAACCTCTGCTGAGCAGGGCGGGGCGTGGTCAAAATGTTGGATGTCATCGAATTCTTTTTTTTTTTAAATAAACTGTTTTCTGTGCGATGGAGAAGAAGTTGGACTTGTTTAAGGCTTGCTCGTGACCAAAGAAATAATGAAAAAAAAGTCATTTCAGAAAGAGAGACCCAAATGTAATTTTGCGGCCGTCGGGAACATTTTAAAAACAGGAAGGAAGGAAGTAGAATTCCCCAAGCGATGGCGGCTCAGCTTCGCTGCAGCGTTGGTGCGGGGCTGGCTTCACAATTTTCAGGGACCGACCACGGAGCAAGATGCCAGTTGCGTGCACGCTAACTTTGGTTGAAAGTAAAGGGAAAGAAAAAAAAATAAAACAATGGCAGTTAAAATAAAAGGTCTAGGTGAGTGCAAGCAGGTATTGCATATTTTATGTCCTCGTAGTTCTTTTCTGGGAACAAAAAGTAGAAGAACCAACAAACAAAAAAATTCAAAAAGGAAGAATTGAAAATTCATCCCATCCGACAAACGATAGGATCAATGGGATGAATGGGGGTAACTTGGTTAACTGAACAAACCAGTGAGAAGTTACAAGCTCTGTCTAGTCTATCAAGGTATTGACATCACAAAATTTTGTGAAATGAGTACAATGTCTTCAAGTGCAAATAACAGGAAAAGTGAGAAAATGTGTTTTCATGTCAATCCATTTCCTGTTTCATATCACTACAGCACATATACAATTTAAATGAAAATGAAATGAGATGTTTGTTCAGACCATAAACTGTTTCTGGTTCAAAGATCTGTCAGGGACCAGGTAATAAACAAACCATTAGCAAACCCAACCCAAACTGTTTAAGCTGCTAAACTCAGTTAGCTAACCTCAATCAAACGGTATCGCCACTAAACCGTTAGCTAACATGACATGACTCATAGCATTTAGCCACTCAATGGTTGGCTAACCTAAATAAAGTATTTTACCTGCTAAAATAAACGATCTAACTGGGAGCAAACTGTTTATGCAAAATTAGACAAAAACTGATTTTCACAGCATTTTGCCAAGTCTGCAGAAAAGAAGTGTCAAGAATTATTACTCGTGTTTGTTGGTTACACTGAATGTAACGTACTGGAGGCATGCGCCCTCCTATCTCCCCTAAATGTCCCCCACTGTCCCGTGGTCACCCGTCGCTCCCCTCAAACCAACCATTAGCATAAGCTAACATTAGCAGCAAGCTGGATGGAACCTTTTACTCTGTGACATTAGCTAGCAAATTACTATGAATTGTTTTTCCGCTGCTACATCTGACCTATAACTAAGAGCTGAGAAAGTCATGTTAACCTCATGTTGTTTTTACATTAGACAAACATTATCTACACATTAGACCTTTCAACACAACCTCAGACTCAATGCTCATTTCACAAAATTTCCCTGTGTTGTCGTCTGTTAGCAGGTACCTGAACATGTTTGACCTGATTGTAGCTGATGTTCACCTGTGAGGTCTCTGCTCAGCACTGCAGGGGGGATGGGGCAGGTGTGGGGGGGGGGGGCAGAAAGCCGTGCAGCAAAGGCCTGAGCGTTTCTCTTCGGCTTCAACGCTTTGACGTTAATTGCTTCAACTACCAACAAAACTGAAGGTGCTGATGGTGAATTAGGAAGTTAAAAGGAGAATAACGATAAAGCAAGACTCTCCACATTGGATCTTGTGCAACCTCCCAGGACTGGACTGTAGCTCAAGGCACATTCAGGAGGAACAATTGTTTTCGTGCAATTTAATAACATACAGATGAAAAAGAGAATGTCTTGAATTACCATCAGGCAAAAAGCAGAATCGATGTGTTCCTGAAGGAAAAGGTAAGGGTGAGCGAGAGAAGGAAGTAGAAAATTAAAATAGAGATGTGCCGAGAAGAGAGCTGGTTGGTTGTAAAGGAGAGCAATAGAAAAGGCCGACGGGGCCAAACTAATAGATGGCTGCTGGCAAGTGCCTGATGTTGGATTTACAATATAGTGTCTTTATCTCACTAACTACATCATCTATGGAAAAATGTGTCACTAACACTAGAACATGCAGATTTTTTTTATTTTTTTTTTTTTTTTTCCACTTAAATTCACTTTTGTTTGACGCTGGATGGTCGTAAGAGTGTTTGGGTATGTGTGTGTGTGTGTGTGTGTGTGTTTGTGTGTGTACATATTTATATCTATATATATAGTATAGGAAAGGAAGAAAAAAAAATGAATTCAATAAAATGGTAAGTTGCATGTGAAGCGCCCGGCTGTCTGTGGACGAAAGCTTTCAGAGAGTTACCCTCTGCTCCGCCTCTTTATCACTTAACCACACCCCCTGATTACACACACGGCCTATTGGCCAACTGCAGGAATAAGTGCTTTTGATTGGACAGGACCTCCATGAGACCCAGCCAATCAGCGGGTAACACCCGTGAACGATTATCTCGCAGAAACCGGGAGAAAACGTGATTACGTTTAAATTCACTTGTTATATCTTCTCCTGATTTTGCCTCATGAGAAATTCAAATAGCTTCTTTTTATTTTTTATTTTTAAAAGTAAAATGATGTGCTCGTTAAAATAAGTTAAGCGTTTTTTCTTCTTTCAAAAAAAATAAAAAGCAGACTTAAGCTGAAAGAAATGCATTAAAAACAGTGATTGTTTAAAATGATATTTCTTTAAAGGGATTCTTGTTCTACCATACTAACAGCTTTGCAAGATGAACTAACAACAAATAATAAACAATAGTGTGAATACAGCTCCTCTTATTTCTCACAAGGCTATGTTTTCGAGTTGAATGCTGAGTTGTTGTCTTTTGTACCCCAAGATTTTAGAGTCCCAGAGGTGTGAACGGACTAAGAAGAAAAATATAGTTCATATATACTTTTCATCAACTGTTTTCAACGAGCTATCTTACAAAGATATTTAACTATCCAACAGCTAGTCAACAAAATTGCACTTTCCTCATGATCAATATTTCACTGGTAAAGTTTTAGTCACTCATCATCAATCATCATCTCTCTGTCTGCCTGCTGCATATCGGACACCAGAGCCCTCTGCCCACCCTTTGCATGCTGTAGCTTCACACAGACTGGTGGATGGATAGAGGAGGAAGAGGAGGGGACCAGCTGAAATGACTGCCTAAGAGAGAAACATCAATGAGCCATGAAACCAAAGCCTTCTTAGATAAACCAGCTTGGATCCACCAGCATCTGGTAGCAACACTTCACATGAACAACAAACCCCTGCTTCCCCTCACGTTTACCACCCCACCTTCACCCTAACGCCCCTGACCCTTCCATGTGCAGTTCATGTTATTTCAGGCAGGGCGGATTGGTTTGTGCCCGCACCACCTTCCCATCAGGTCGGCTCTTTCCATTAAGCACTGGTCCGTGTCCTTGGAAAGAGCCGTTTGACGTCCTCCCTCCCTGACGTGCCACCAACCAAGGGGGCGGGGTCAAGTGGGGGGAGGGCGGAGTCCATCCGTGGAGGCTGTGAAGGCTCGGGCATCTATGAGGGGGTCGTGGGTATTAGCTGTTGGTATCTGAGCCAGGTAACACCCCTCACCCCCCGACCATGGTAAAGCCCGTCCTATCCCACCAACCAAACCAACCCCAAGCCATCAGGAACGACCGGGTTGGGGGTTCAGATGGGGGGTGGAGGGCTTTGTACCGTTATAAGTCCACTGGATGCGCACTCTGCAGAAGGTAACGTTGTGTGGGTATGTCGTTCCTCCAGAGGGGAAGCTCTGCCACTCGGGCTAGCGGCGTTCACAAAAACTTGTCCGTCTTTGGGGTTGTGGGGGGGGCGGAGTCTGGCACTAAAATGGACATGGACGTACAAACCGTGCGTCTGCAGGGAAGCCTGTGACATACGGTTTACAGAGGGGGTGTTCTAACACCAGGGTCGGGTGCGTTTGATGTGCTGTAGCCATGCTGTTGCTGCTGAGTTGGGCGCTGATAGGGGTGGAGTCAGGCGCAGAGAGGGAGGAGTTGGAGGGCTAAACGGGCAGGGCAGGAAGGGACTCTCTGTCGCAACTGGCATCAAAGGTCAAGGGTCGAAGAGGAGGCTGCAGCGATCTGTCGTACAGGTGGGTGGAGGGGCAAGGGGCCTCTAGAGTCCTTATCCCAGGTACCACTGTGGAGGGAGACGGAAAGACAAGTTTACACAGAGTCTCATGGAGTCAAACCAACCTGCACCACCCAAAAAATCTCTTCTACAACCTTTTTCGGAGGAGGGGGGAGCAATCTAATAATAAAAACAAACACTGCTGCACTGGATATACAGTATATACACCGTTTGAGTTTAAGAGTCTTCAAAGATATTTGTAAAAAGAGAAAAAAAGATTGTGTCCAGAGTGATGTATAAACTAAAAATTGTCATAGAATTTCCGTCCGTGAATCCTTGTTTAACCGAACAAATTGTGTGATTCAAAACAAATTAAATCGAGGCTTCACCAGGAAGTTAATAAATTAAATTGACGTTTTCTTTCTATCTTTGTGAATGAAATATCCTCTTCAGCCATTAAAACTCGTGTCAGTGCACTTTGCATTTCAATGCTACTTTAACTTGAGTGTCTGTGGCTGCTGGTTAGTGGAAAAGAGGAGAGTGTACTCCTCTATCCTTTTGCAATTGGGTGTTTGCGTCTGAGTTTTGTGGTTTGTTTCCGCTCCAAATTTACACGTGTTTCGGATTTTACACGTGGAAGCAAAGGCCGGTTTCCAGCAAAATCCTATAGTTCGTCGTGGTCTCCAGAGGATGAGCCTATTGGATTTTAATAACCACACTACTTTTCTTGTAGTGCCACCCTCAGGACAGACGTTCAGTTGAATATGTTGCTTTTTCTTGAATTTCAGGCTCAGTCACAGATACTTTTATTTGTTTGGGAGCTGGAACACAACACTGGTTCACCCGCTATCTTTACAGTATCACCAAACTGTGTGTGTGTGTGTGTGTGTGTGTGTGTTTGAGTGTGTAATCCATCTCTGAATGGCCGGTATCGATCCCCAAAGGTGCATCGTTCATGTTTCATGAATTTCCCTCCTCCTCCTCCTCCTCTTCCTCACTGCCCCCGTCGAGTTCAAGTTCATCCCCACCTTACATCATGTCTGGTTGCCAGGGACAACCAGACGGACCGGGACGTGACTACAATGGCCAAGGCAACCGCATCGCCCTCCACCCCTCTAACGCACCCCACCCCCTCTCCCACTCTCCTCCCTCCACTTTCTTCCCCCACATTCATCGCTTCCTGCTCCCTGTCCCGCTCTGTACCTCATCCCAGACACACACACACACACACACACACACACACACACTTAGCACACTCAAAATCGACGCACAACGTGAATTTGAACAACGGGGAAAGTTTAAATAAAAAACATAAAGGGAAGTAGTTATTTTGTATGTGTGTGTATGTGTGTGTGTGTGTTGCAGTGTTTCTCTGCACTCCTGACGCGTTGTAATTCTATTTCTGTGTGTGTGTGTCTGTGTGCGGTAGTGATAGAGGAGAAGACTGGAAGGTTAGTTTTTAATCAATACAACTTGCTGACGCTGGGACTTTTCTACCTCGCCGGCTCCCTCCTCCCTCCCAGTGTCTCCCGGTGTCTCTCGCCCTCTCACTCGCTTCCTGGACTGCAGCTCCTCCCTCCCTCTGTCCCGAGAAGACTCAGAGAAGATGAAACGCTCACTGGCCAGACAGTGTGTGCCTGTGTGTGTGTGTGTGTGTGGAGTAACGTTACCACACAGCGGGCTGATGCTGACAGCTGTGATTCAGATAGTAGATACTCATCCCCGGAGGAGAGTGAAATAGAGGGAGAGAAAAGAGGAAGAGGGGGAACAAAGGTAGAGAGACTGCAAAGGACCAACTCGTTGATTTCCCATGTTTATCTTGTTTTTAACGAATGGAACTAAGGCTGCATCGGCCCCGTCCTTTTATGACTTCTGTCTCATTCCCTACTGAAGCTGGTCCATGCAGCTTTCATCAAACAAGATGACTATCTGTTGCAGAATAGTTCCAGCGGAGGATTGGACTACATTTGGGGCTCACCTGAATAGTTGGAGCGGCCGACGGGGTGTTTGGGGTTGAGTGAAAATAAACTACCATAAGTGTGTTGCTGGTGATGAAGCCTCATTGATGTGTTTTTTAATGGACCTCTATCAGGCTGTGACACACACAATACTTTGTAATAATTTTGGTAGATGCCCATCAGACCCGCCCACTCCTCCCAACATCTGTTTGTGTTTAGAATAGAATCCATCTTTATATCCCATGTACATCTCTATGCCTGATAGTATTTCTATGTTATTTGCCTGGTCCTGTCTTCTCCTGAGTCAGCACTTCACACACACAGACACACAGTCACTCAACACACACACACACACACATAGTCATAAGGTAGGCGTGGTGCTTTTACTGCCTGTCTCCGAGAGTGTGTGTGTGTGTGTGTTTGTGTGTAAGAGCTTCACCTTGAAGTCTGTGTGTAAATACGACACGGAGACAGATGATGACTGCACACGGACACACACACACACACACACACACACACACACACACAAAACTCACAGATGGGAAAGCACCCTCACTGCAAACGTCTGCTTCTCTGATGTAACATAACCGCACGCACACACACACACACTTATTGATCAGGGCACGGCTGGCTGTTGTTTAGTAGTATGTGTGCTGTGTGTGTGTTGGTTGGCACGATGGAGGTGCCAACTCGCTCCCACTGCCTCCGTCTCCGCAGACGACCACCGCCGTCTCCCGCAGCAACCATCACGCCAACCCATCAGGGCACGATGCCTACTCTCACACAATGCCAGGGCCATCTGCCCCCCAGACTCGCCCAAAACGACCAACACACACACACACACACACACACACACACACACACACACACACACACACACACACACACACACACACACACACACACAGGAGTGCACAGACTGTCCAGTTGGTCACCATGGCGATGAGAGGAGGGAGAGTTTTCGCTGCCACTGTCCCATGGCTCTCTCTCTCTAACAGAGGCTTAATGTCGACCGCCCAGGGTGACTTTTGTTGCTGCTTCTACGTGTGTGTATGTGTGTGTCATTATGTTGATTTTATGTGTGAGTGTATATATGTGTGTGTGTCACACTCTTTCATGCAGCAGGACTCCCCCTGTCAATCTACTTAGTGCCTTTTATGCACATGAACCAAAATACACACATTTGCCGTTCTATGCTTATGAGGACCTTCATTAACATCATACGTTCTCTCTGTGACCGTAATATAAATCGGACATTAAATTTAATATCAAGTCTTGAAATCAACAAACAACCCTCTGGAAGACAATTTTCCCAAAAGGTCCCTACTTTCAAAAAATAATAATCTCTAAACCAAATGTCCTCACGTTGAAAAACACATGAAAGCTCCTCAACCTAATGAAGTGGTCTTTCCTTCCTCACCTCAATGTCCTCACTGTCCAAATCTATGCTCACTTCTGGAACTCTACACTCACTTACCAAAAAACACACCACAAAATATGTCTTTCAGCTCAGAAACAATCCCCCACTATCAAAAAACGATGTCCTCACTTTCTATACCTCTCTGTATACTTCTCTATTCCAAAGTTACGCTAAAGAATTTCCATAATTGGACGCTGATCATTGATCTACAATCTCACGCAGGTCGTGAGAAAAGATTTCATTAACTGAGGACCGGCAGACGACGGACGACAGCAGAGACAGAAGAAGGATAAATAACGTGAGTCTGTTTCCAGCAGCAAACACCTGGCTCATGTCTACTCAGTGTGTGTCTGTGTGCGTGTGTGTGTGTGTTGGCCTGTGACAGAGTCAATAAATTGAAAGGCTGGTTCATTGCGGACACACACACACACACACACACACACACACACACCGAAGCAATAAAACATGTCCCGATAGTCAACAGAGGACTCCCACCTCACTGTCCCCTTACCACACTGTGTGTGTGTGTGTGTGTGTGTGTGTGTGTGTAGGATGAGTTAAGTCAAGGCTGTCCAATCGTTACACTCTTCATAAATCAGCTGGCCAACACACCCTGAGCGCCACGCACACCCAGGTTGTCCCTGGATGTTGCATTCACTGACCACCTGCTCCACAGTAAATGTTACAGTCTTGCACTTACACAACAGGCCACGCAAAGCCTTGCTCTCTGATTGGCTGTTGTTGTGTTGAAGTCACATATATACGTGCGCACCTCTGACGTTGTGTTAAAATGGTGACGTTGTAGATACCACGAGGCCTGGGGACGGCGATCATTGGTTTGTGTTACCTGCGGTTGCTGAGGGATGTTAAAACCGGGATCTCTGGGTCCAAACCGCTGGGCCGGAGATGAAGTGGGGGTGGAGTAGGCTGCACGACACACACACACACACACACACACACACACACACAGAGTTCAGTTGATTAGGCTGCTGGTGTTGAGTTTCTAGGTGTCGTTACGTTAGACTTGACGTGATCTAAAAGCTCTTGACTATCTCACTAAGACGTACAGACAAACAACTTTGTTTCAAAGTAATAAAAACACCTGACAAAAATATGTCATTTTTCTGTGAGTTTACGGACCATTTTCTTTATTTGGAATAACATTCAGCAGCTGGGTAGAAAATGACTAGCCTGACTAACTTGTTTAGGATTCAAATAATTATTTCTTTCTTCTTTCAAATCAGTGTAATGTAATTCTGAAAAACAAAATAGGAAATAGGCCATTTTTAAACTAGCTTAGCACAGAGACTTCCAAAAACTCCCATGAAACTCGTTGGCGGATTAAAAAGGTTATGAAGGTCTCTGAGAATAATGAAGCAGATGTGATGACAAAGATCGCTTTCCTGTTACAAATGAAGCACGTTTGGACTCCACTCACACAACCCCAAACCAAAGCAGTAAATGTTTATATATATTTTCTTACATATGTTGATGAGCGTGAGGGGGATTAAACAGGTTTGGCACAAACCACGTGTGTTTTTGCCAAACAACAGTAAACCGACACTAAACCCTGAAGTCAAATATAATCCGAACACAAAAACAGATTATGAATCATTTCTTTAGATTTGAAAGTCAATATTATATTAATAATCAAAATATCAGGACTTTGGTTCTATTTTTTCTTGTCTTTATTGCAGAGGCGGACACAGTTGGTAGAAGCGTTTGAGCTACGGGATCCTTCGCACTTACTGGGGGAGGTGGGCGAGTTGCCCCCGCCCTCGGCGGAGGAGGTGGATGGCGGCTTGGCGTCGACGGGCAGTGGGACAGGACGAGCCATCGGGGGAGGCGGCGGGGGAGGCAGCATGGGCGTCGGTAGGAAAGGGTTGTGGACTTTTCCCTGGGAGCTGTTGTTAGGCTGTAGGAGGCGGGGTCACAGAAAACAACGAAAAACAATTCAATGCAGGTAGACGCACAACGTCCCGTGCAGAGAGCCCAACATCCACGGGTCAGTCACATGGCCAACCGGACTCCCTGCAGCCCTATGAGCGTGAGCGTGGGCGTGTGTGTGTGTGTGTGTGTGTGTGTGTGTGTGTGTCAGCAGTTTCCCCGGCTGGTCATAAAGAATTCTGCTACTGCTCGCATTTTATCCTGCTAATCTATAAGCATAATAGCACAGCACCTCGCTTTACCTCTGACTGTGTAGATGTGTACATACATACATAAGTAAATATAGGTATGTACTGTGTGTGTATTTGTCTCCACACAAGCTGTGGATGGAAAGCAGGACGCTGCAGCGTAACAACATCTGCCCTTTGCCGTGCGCTGGTGGAACAACATTAACCTGGTATGGGGTTTGTGGAAATTGGAAGTACTTGTACTCAACTTGAGTGTTTCCAATTTATTTTCCATGTCTACTCAACTACAACTATCCACTTAGCAAAAGCAGAAAAACATTTGCTAAGAATGAAACTACGAAGCAGTATAAAAGTACAGCGGAAACGGTGGGTCGGTTCATTTCATTTCATTTTGCTGCTGCAAATGATTGGAACTCCGTACAAATGAATTACTTAATTAATTTACAATTAATTCTACTCTAATCATATAATACATTACATACATCATTGCATTTTTCTACCTTTGATGTTGAAGTGAATTTATGCTTATACCTTTACTGAAGAAATAGTTTCAATGTGGCACTTTGAGAAAATACACTAAAGACATGTCCAATTGAGACATTTTTACTTGCCAATATTGTCTGTACGTATTTTTATGAATATAACTTTTGCGCCATTTGGTTTTACTACATCGGCAAGAAGAAGAAAAGAATGTATATCGGGTACGTGTGTGTGTGATAGTGAATGCGGTGGGTGTATTGATTCAGCGTCTAGACACAGATATATCAACTATCTCACTGCAGATGCAAGGCCACACACACACACACACACACACACACACACACACACTGCAGTGTTTTCTGCCCCAGCCCTGCACACAGATACTGATCCAACCTTTGCAGAGGCTAAAGAACCCGGCTCAGATGTTTCCTTGTGATGTATTTATGCGTGTTAGTGTGTGTGTGTGTGTGTGTGTGTGTGTGTGCTTACGTTAAGGAAGCCCACCTGTCCGGCCTGCTGGGCGGAGTCAGGGCAGACCAGCTGGACGAACTCCTTGAGCGTCTCCTGCGGGTGATACCTGATGGCCGGGTGGGAGAAGTAGGAGCCGGGCTGCTGCAGGATGGGGGAGGAGGAGAAGTGGAGGCTGGAGGGGGGAGCGTGGGCGCTCGCTGTGGGTGGAAGGGAGGTAGGGGAGTGAGCGGAGGGTTGTTTGAGGGACGGGGGGAGAGAGAAAGAGAGAGAGATAAGGGAGTTGAGACATTTAAAGTTGATTAAAGGGGGCGGGGCTTCACATGCAAATACACGGTGACGGACACACACAGCAGAGCAGATGAAACAAAGACAAGAGACCATAATGCACCTCTCACGCCCAGCTGTCACTCAAAAGGAGTCTGTGTGTGTGTGTGTGTGTGTGTGTGGAGGTTAGTAAACGTGATCTGTCACCTCCTTATTTACTCCTTCTTCCACTCATTTCCTCTTTCTTTCCTTTCCTCTCCTCTCCTCTTGTTTCCTCTTCTTTCTGTCTATCGTCCACTTTTCTCACAATCCCCATCTCCTTCTTTTTTTCTCCTCCTCTCCACTCCTCAATTTCTTCCCTTCCTTCTTCCTTTGTTCTTTCTCTCCTTTACCCCCATTTCATCTCCTACTCCCCTCACTTCATCCTCTGAAGTACAGTTGTCTCCTACTTCCTTTACTCATTCTTCCCGTTCCTCTCTTTCTTTCCTTCACATTCTTCTACTTTTACATTTCATTTACCTCTGCTCTCCTTTCCAGGTGTTCCCTCTTCTTTTCTCCATTGCGCTTTTGTCACTTCCTCTTTTCTCTTTTCCCGCTTTCTCCTCCTTTCATCTTTCCTCCTTCCCCCTCTCATCTCATCTCATTTAATCTTGTTTTATTTGATCCTCTTTTGTATTCCTCCTGTTATCTTTCCGCCTCTTTTATATTTTATCATTTCATCCACCTTTCTTTCTTTCTCCTGCCTCCTCTTCTTCTTCCTTGTGCGACTGGTTTTCTACTTTTCCTTTCCTCCCTCCTCTCCCTCCCTCCCTCCCTCCCTCCTCTCCTCTCCTCTCCTCTCCTCTCCTCTCCTCTCCTCTCCTCTCCTCTCCTCTCCCCTCCTCTCCTCTCCTCTCTAATCTAATAACGGACTCACAAGTCCCATCTTCTACGATTGCTCGATAGTGGAGGATTCCTCATTACAGACATGGATGTATAAAGAGGGGGAAAGGAGAGAGAGACTTTATATTTCATAAAGAAACAGAGGCACACAGAGAGAGAGAGCCTTTGAAAGGAAAGAGGCAGAAGAGAGAGAGGGAGAGAGAGAGAGAGAGGGAGAGAGAGAGAGGGATGGAGGAAAAGAGAGTTAAAGCTGCTGCACTAATTCACTTAAAGTCTGCTGTGATTTATCACTCTGACAATACACACTGACCAAGTGTGTGTGTGTCTGAGAGTGTGTGTGCGTACCCTGCGGCCAATGTATTTACAGTAATCATTGGATGGATGGCTTTCTCTGCCCTCTTTTCTCTTGTACACAAACACACACACACACACACACACACACACACACACACACACACACACACACACACAGAGAAGGGGACATTCTGTGTTTACATCAATAGGAATGTTGACACACTGTCACTCAGTGTGCAGGTATCTACATATACGTGTGTGTGTGTGTGTGTGTGTATGTGTGTGTGTGTGTGTGTGTGTGTGTGTGTTCATGAATGGTCTAATGACGTTTCATTCCTTTCAGGTGAGGAAGTAGGGAATCTGCACAGGAAGGAAATAACATTGTCAAAGACACCAGCACACACACACACACACACACACACACACACTGCTAAGTAAACGAAATGCATTTTTTTCTGTCCAACATCTCTAATGCTTCCCTCGCGCTGACGTCGTGACCCCCGTCGTGACCCCCAGGAAGATACCAAGTTGTCCGTAGTTTTTGCTCTGGGCCGGAGTCAGCTGATGACTGTGGCTTCAGGCTTCAGTGCACCAATTTCACAAACATTTTTTGTAGTTGCAATCTACAGTTTTACATTTGAATGTGGTCACAAATGACCATATATATATATATATAAAATAATTTTAGTGACCAGTTTGAATATTGCGACACAACCAAACTGAGGGGACTGAGGAGAAATCAGAGTTTTTAAAGTTTCCCGTCATATATTTTGTTGAACCCGGATCCAGAGGAAACCGTATCCGTTACTTCGTCAATATGTAAGTGCCAGACTGAACCACAAACTGATGACTGGTCTTTTCTTACCAGCGCTGGAGTTAAATATGTAGAGTTATCTCTACAAAATGGATATTGATTGTCTCATCGATCAAAGACAGGATTTTCCTAAATGTCTGAGTCTTCCTTTAACAACGCAGGTATAGAGTGTGTGTGTGTGTGTGTGTGTGTGTATGCGTGTGTGTGGTATTGAAGACCCGAGGACCCGCTTGTCGAACACAGAAAAAAAGGATTAGTTCCACTTTGCAAATTGCCTCGCTTCACTGCCCCCCCCCCCCCCCCCCCTCCGTCTCCTGCTCTGCCAACTTTTCCTTGAAGAAGATATTTGCCATTTAGAGGTGGACTGATAAACAATAAAAGGGAGGAGAGGAGTGACATGGCAGAGCTCCTCCAATTGCACGGCAGGGGGGCCGAGGATGAAGGATGGGGGGGAAGAAGATGCTTAGATCTTAAGGGAAAGGAGGAGGAGGATGTGGGGAGGCCAAGATCTGACCAAAAATGGGGTGAGGAGGAAGAGGACTGAGGTAAGGATGGGAGGTTGAGCCGAAGGAGGAGGTGAACTGTATAGTTAGCCGAAGTGTGAAGTATGAAGAGGAGGAGAGGGGAGGAGGAAGGTGAGGAGGAACAGGAGGGGGAAGAATGCAGAAGGAGAACTGAACAGGAATCGAGAGATGGCCGGAGACTAGCAGGAGGAAATGAGAGAGATAAGGAGGAAGGTGAGAAGTTAGGGCCAAACCAAGAAGGAGGAGCCGAGACGTAGCTGAAGAAGGATGAGGACCAGGGCACGAGAAGGAGGAGGAAATAACTCATCACTGGCAGGAGGGAACAAGAAAAAGAAAAGGAGAAATCAAGGAGGTAGAGGAGAGGCCGTGAGGAGGAGGAGGAGGAGCTGGAGAAGATCAGGAGGATGGACTGAATCCAGATCGAGAACTCGCAGCGTCCCTGATGAGGATTAATTACGACTGTGTGTTTTCGGTGTTTTTTTTTCTACAGAAACAGGAAGTTGACAGAAGTCTGCAGCCCTGCGGGAGTTCAGCTGCTCACTAATCACTTCCAATCCTCTAATCTGCCTCAACATGAGCAGGATTTTCCTCCCACAGAGCCGCTGGAACACATTCAGGAGGGAAAAACACACAAACTGACACAAACCATCAGAGCGAGCCGAAATGACATCTCGTCCCCTTTCAGGGGAACCTTCACAGGATCTGAACTGGAGGAACCAGTTAGGTACAAATTCTCCCCGTGGGGTCTGGTAGGGCCCCAGCTGTGTTGCTGCAGGTCTCGGGTCTGTTTGTTGTGGCTTTAATTCTTAAAAGGGTACAAGGTGACTTTAACAGCTGAAGAGCACAAAAAGCTGCTCCTGTCCCGTTTGAACTTGGGCCTTCCTTTCTGAACGATAAATATATATAATATGTGCGATTCAGGCAAATGGGTTCTGGACCCGTCCAGACCGCCAGCTATTCTCTCTCATGGCAGCTTTTACATCCACGTCCAAAGCGGCGTCGGTTGGACTTGTGTCTTAAAGGTTCGGCCGGACAGAAATCAGTCAGCGTGAACACGACGTCCCAAAACTGAACGTGAGATTACACAGTGCAAGACACTGTGTCTGACAACTGTTTTTGGAAGAATGTTTCGTATTCATATGGTGTTTACGTTCATACGCTGTTCATGGGGTCACAATATTGTAACAGGAGTAATCTGCAGATTACAAAACAAAAATACACACACACACACACACACACACACACTGGCACAGACACACACAAACACTGGAAGTGTGTTTCTCAGTGGTGGGATACTTTTAATTGGAGGAGACAATATTAGAGTGAATGAGAGGGGAGGTGAGGAGTGGGCGGGGCTTGATGGTAGGTTGATGTGACAGGTGCACACACACACACACATACACACACACACACACACACACACACAAAACCCTGCCTGAAGCCTACAGGTGGAACATGACACTTCTGCTTTCCAGTACCTCTTCCTGACAAAACCCACAGCTACTGCCAGGGAAGGGAGGGTGTGGGAGGGTGTGGGAGGGGGGCAGGGGAGGGGGGATGCTGGAGGTGGTTGCTTGGGGTTTAACTGGATGCGGACCTCACCTCGAGGCCCGGTAATGACGGGCCGGTGGTGGTGGTGGTGTGTGAAAGCCGTTCGGGGGGAAGAGGAGGAAGAAGAAGAGGAGGAGGTGGAGGCGCCGCAGAAACCAGACTTCTCTAACTTCTTCAGAGCGCCGGCGGGCGACGGCATCCCTGCCAAGAACCATGATGAGGAGGGTGAGGAGCGGGTCAGAGCCAGCCTGTTCTCGCTTTACTTTAACACTTTGGCTTTTTTATTTATTTGTTTTTAATGCACCTCCAATGGCGTAGAGGAGATGGGGAAAGGTGTGAGGGGGGGGGTTGGTTTGGGCGGGGTTGGGACAGTAGGGAAGGAAGGAGCTGATAGATTGAGCCATGGGGCTCAAGGGGGTGGGGGGGGGGGGGGGGGGCACTTTTGTTTGTTCTTTCTTTGCTGCTGTCCACTAAACTCATTTATTTAGAATGATTGTCTAAAGCTACTAAAGGATGCAATAACAAATGCATGAAGTAAACAAATGCAATATTAGGGAAGGAAAGTTATATTAAAAAATACATACACTATAAATATACAATTTAAAACACAAATAAATTGTTTAAAAAATAGCAGAATAAATATTTAATGCCATAGTTAAAGGCATCATCAATAAAATAATAGATCTATGAATGACTATGCTAAATTAATACAAATATTCAATCATTAAGCCATGAAGAAATAGTTCCAACAGTAACTGTCTGCACTGTGTAACGGGGACAAGAACACATGGTGGTGCACCTGAAGGTGGGCGGGGCTTATAGTGTATTAGTGAAGAGGTGCAGCAAGGGGAGGAGCAGGACAGTGATGAAGGCTTTGTGTGTGTGTGTGTGTGTGTGTGTTTGTGTGTCTGTGCGTGTGAGTGATGAACAGTTGAAGAGGTTTTGTCAGGTGGAAATGAGGCAGTCTGCTCAGCACTTTCTCCTTCCTAACCCTATTTACAAAGCCATCTATCTATCTATCTATCCATCCATCCATCCATCCATCTATCTATCTATCTATCTATCTATCTATCTATCTATCTATCTATCTATCTATCTATCTATCTATCTATCTATCTATCGCTGTCCCTGTCTGTCCATCTATCTCTTTTTTGCCTTTCCTCCTCTTCCTGTTGCTCTTCCTATAACCTCTCTCACCTGTCCCTCCTCATCCTCTCTCAACCTTCCTTCCCTTCCCCTTTCCCTCCCAGCCTTTTACGTCTCAAACATCCCTCCTTCGTCCTCGCTCTTCCTAGTCTCTTTTCATCTGTATCAAACAAAACACACGTGTAACACACACACACATTCACACACATGTGTGATTGCACATCGAGAGGGAATAGTGATTATTTGTCGCAAAATTACTAATTGTAATTACACACACACACACACACACACACACACACAACAGTATCATGCACAGTGTTGAAGTCCATACAGAAGATTTGTATTCCTTCAAAGATATAAATAAAGTTCCTAAACATGCTGCCCGGTGGGTGGGCTCAGGGTGTAATGGGGTGATGGGTGCTTCACCCATACGTGCCTCCAGACTGAAAACAACGAAAGGAGTCGAGGATACAAGGAAGACAAAAAGGAAAAGCAATGGGATGTGGACACGTGGAAAAGGGACGGGAGAAGGGAGGACGAAGGAAGATGAAGAAGATTGGTGGGGAGAAGAAGGAAGAAGATATGAGGGAGAACACAACACTGTACAAGGAGGAGAATAAAAGGACAAAGGAAGAGAGGATGGAGAAATGAGGGAGCAAGGACATAAGGTGGGAGAAGAGAGGACCAGGGAGGGAAGGATGTAAGAAAAATCAGGAGGAGACTAGAGATGAGAAGAGGAGGAAAGAGGAAAGGAGGTGATGACATGAGTGGATGAAGAAGAGAGGAGGAGACTAAAGAGGAAATGAACAAGTGAAGAAGATACAAGGAAAAGAAGCAAGTAGGAAAGGAGCGGGATGGAAGACAGGGAAGCTTAAAGGGAAAGTGAAGGATTCAAAACAGGTACAAATAGGATGCGGATGAGATGAAATTGAAGATAAAAGAAGGGAGATGCTTGAAAGGAGAGAATGAAGAGAAGCAAAGGAAAAGAGGGATGAAGGAGGAAAAGAAAGTCTGAAGAGTCCACCAGACGCATCCAGACACGCCGAAACACCAAACGACAGACCAAAGAAAACCACGAGGTAACTAGCCATCCGGAGGAGGTGGAGAGGAGGAGGTGGAGGTGTTTCACAGATACGTTTAGAGGAAAGTAAAAGGCGTGTTCACAGTCTTTACCTTGTCGGGAGATGAATGAGCTAGCTAGAGAGCCGCGCAGCTTATATCCAGCTTTCCAACGCAAGACGGAGTGGAAAGAAAGAAAAGGAAGCAACAGAGGAAAGAAAAAAGAAAAGCAGCATGAATATACTGAGGGGGGCAGAGAGAGAGAGAGGCGGAGGTACCTCAACAATTTAGTATTCATGTAAATGTGTGTCCCAGGTCATAGCGCACACACACACACACACACACACACACACACACACACACACACACACACACACACACACACACACACACACACACACACGCGCATCCCAGGCCCAGTGATGTATTGTGTGATTAGATATACCTTTAGCCTGTTAGCTGCTTTAACCAGTGTATTGTGAGTGTGTGTGTGTGTGTGTTAATCAATGTACAGTAGGACCCCATCTCTCCTCATAATGGGATCCACCCAGTCGGACCTCATCTGAGCAGTTTGCACAAAACATAATCTGCCGCGGCCCCGTATGCAGCAAGCCACGCGTTGGCAGATGCACTACGGTGGTGTGAACACACAAAAAATGCTGTAACTTTACTTGCATTTATCTGCTAAAATGTAGTAAGAAATCTAAAATCATGCTTTGTCAGGTCAGGCTGCAAGGAACTTTTTTTAGCAAGACGTCTGATTGTATAGAAGTTTATATGAAAAGGACTCTTCCTCATGTTAGGGTATGTATGCTTGCTGTGACTGACAGGTCGCTGAGGTCTACTGTACGTCCCGAGGCAAAATGGAGGTTTCAAAACAGCAGTCCATAAATCAACAGGGGAGATCATGATGACTACTTCCCCTTCTCATATACAGTCGGTGGTCCTAACAGGGTCCCCTCCCCTGGCCGGTCCGATCTACACACTGAGAACACTTACCAACTTAAAGGACCTGGGGTCATTAATTACGTAACTTGTGTGGAGGTGATGGAGTGTCTCTGTAGTTGAGTATAAAGACACACTTTACACACACTGACATCTGAGTTCTAAACACAAACACGCCCCGACGTCCTCCTTATCTCTCTTTCTCTGTCGCACAAGCACAGACACACATTCTTCCCTCCCTGCGTCACTTTCGCGCTGTAACGCGACAGCTCCGTTTCCAAAGCTGCTTTGGAGTCGGCGGGTCAAGGTTGAGAGGTTACGGTTGGGATGTGTATGAGCTAAATGTGTTTAGTGGAGGTAGAGGTGACAGGGCGGGAGGGGGGGGAGAGGGCGGGGCTATTAAAGGATGTGGTTGCTATGGTGACGGGAGGAACCTACCTGGTTCCACATCGTGCCAGCTGCTGGCCTGGCTGCCGCTGCCCGGAGATCGACCCTGACTGGTGTAGTAGGACTCCTCCCCTGGACTGTCCACGTCCTCCTCCATACACTTTATCCTCTTGGCAGAGCTGGACACACACAGAGGACAGACAGAGCAGCATCGTTAAGCCCTGTATTGTTGGTCTGATCATTCTTCCTTTGGTTAGTGGACTTGCTATTAGACATAGAAAACACATGTGCATACAAAAAGGAAGAGGTAAGAAAAATAAATGTTGAAACTCTCTCTGTGGTGCTCATTCTCATTGAGCTTGAACAGTTTATGGGCAAATTCAATTTTATGGACGACTGGCAACAAAGTCAGACCTTTAAGTTACTTTGACTGCATAATGTCTGTATAACGTCTTAAACAGTAAGATGCTGTAAAATAATCTTTTGATTAATAAATCATGATGACACGTCCAACCTTCCAATAAACCTACTGCCTATAAACACACCTAACTACCCGCCTAACCATTTACCTACCTACCTATGGATCTACCCACCTACCTAACTGATAACCTACCTAGCCATCTATCTATCTACCTAACTAATTGTCTACCAAACAACCTACCTACCTGCCTACTTAGCTTTCTACCTGCCTAGCAACCAAAGAGCTGTGTGTGACTTTGTGATCCACATCATTACTGTATGAATGATGGTAATAAGGTTAAACACCCCAGAGTGAACACGTCCTTTAATGAGACCTGCTGCACGCTTCAGTTACCGTCACTCTGCTGTTGGTGTTGTTGTTGCAGGCTTTCACATGTCAGAGCGGAGTGGTCTTACATTGCCTACACGGACGCTCATTACTGTAACACACGCCAAAGGCCTCCTTTTAACCAGATGGGACTGTTTAACAGGAGGGTTAAGACATTTAAGTGTGTGTGTGTGTGACCTGCATACACACAGTGAGATGTATGAATGAAGAGTCTTTGACATTAGTGTAGACGTAAATATTACCATATGGAGCTGCTGCTTTGCCTCACGGTGTGTGTGTGTGTGTGTGTGTGTGTGTGTGTGTGTGTGTGTGTGTGTGTGTGTGTGTGTGTGTGTGTGTGTGTGTGTGTGTGGGAGGTCTCTGGAGGGATGTGCGGAGTTATAGAGGGAGTAGAGAAAGGAGTGTAAAAAAACAGGAGGACACACACACTCTGATCTGACTCATGGGTTGTTGTTATATGTGTGTGTGTGTGTGTGTGTGTGTGTGTGTGTGTGCGTGCTTGCTGCAGGGCAGGTATCTCAGCAGACAGACAGACGACTCTTGCGACCGCATCGATTTAAAAGAAGAGGTCAGGGCAAAGCCTGCAAGCATGTGGGTGTGAGTGTGTGTGTGTGTTGTACACGTCTTTGTGTATGTACATTAATATGTAAGATTGAATGTTTGTTTGTTGGGGTTCACAATAATGTGTTTCTTGGATTCCCCATGAAGATGTACAAATACCACACAGGAATAATACTCCACTACGAGTAAAGCTTGTGCGTTCAAAAGATGCATGTGCTACCATCATATTGCACTGCGTTTACAGTAAGGTGTTGTGTCTCAGCATGTTCCTGTTTTACCTTCATCCTACAGATGCCTGTTAGAGGCGCAGAAGAGGTCTGAGATCTGATAGGATGTGTGGATTTGAGGTTTACCCGGAGGAGGAGGTGCTCGGCAGAGGTCTCCTCATGGCTCCTGGACTCATGCTGTAATAGGAGGAGCTGTCCAGGTCGGCCAGTGAGAAGTTTGGACCGGTACCAGCTGCGATAGGTGCTGGGTGATTTAAAAAGAGAGAGAAAGCATTAATATAGACATTTTGAGACATTTAACATGATGGATGATAGCAGTTGTTCTGGGTCTGCTTGCCCATCCACGTGCATTTGGGAGTTTACAGTGTAGAGTGAAAATCTTCCCTCGATAGTGATATTTTGACTAATTTCAGAAACAGCAGTTTGTGACGAACAAATGTTGTGAAAAAGACAAATACACATAATTTGGTATCGAAACTATCAACGGCAGGAGCAGCTCTGAGTGGATCTGGTGTGCATTCTATGTGAGGTCACCTTTAGTTTAGCCTGAAGCCACTGGAAGATATTTGATTGATTTTACTTTCATTCTAAAATGAAATTTGGGTTCCCTCTATTTGTATGTCTATTGTGAAAGGTAAGAACAGAAGGAGCTGAACTAGTGTGTTCTGCCGTTGTCATGGTGGAATGGAGTTGTACGTTTGGCTCTCAGAGTCTCTGTGTAATATTGTACACCGTTGTGTTAGTATTGAATACATACGCTAAGTACAATGTGACTGGTTGACTTCATTTCAATTTCTCTCGCTTTATCAAAACTATATAAATTCCAAAAGCGTTGATGTGATTTTCTGTCAATAAGCTGTAGAGAAGGAAAATATGCAAACAGCTGAGATGGTGAACAATACCAGAAACATCTCAATTCAAACTATTCAACCTGCAGGAACTTCTCACTTTAGTCACAGTTTTCCTGCTTGAGTCTTTTAAAGAAAACATCCCGTCCTCATTTCTTACCAACAAACACGAGCTGAGAAAGAAACAGCCTCCTGTATTTCATTCGCTGCATCGCCTCCCTCTACTGTATGTTATTACCACACTTAGTATGTGAAATATTAGCGCAGTGCTCCAATGGTGACATTGTGCAACAGTTGTATACGAGTGCAGTTGGACATTAGCGTCCACAAACGCAACCCTCTCTCTCCCTCTCTCTACCTCTGCTTCTCTCCAGGGAGGCCAGCAGAGCACAAAGACCTGCAAGGGCTTTCACTATTAAAGGAGTGAGGGAGCGAGGGGCAAGAGAGAGAGGGAGAGAGGGAGAGAGAGAGAGAGAGTTGGCTCTTTGTTGTCAAATGCTTCAATTTGAAAATCCTGCTGAACAAAGGCAGCAATCAGCTTCAAACCCGGACATCCGTGTAGCCCCTCGCCTCCAGCCCCCTCGCCACCCCACCCCTCCTCCTCCATTCCTCCTCTTCATCGCTTTATTGACGGAGAGCATGATGGCGTGATGGGATGAAAGAAGGAGGAGGAGGAGGAGAACTGACAGGACCTGGTGGGGAGTTTTCTGCTGAGCTCAGCAACGTGAGCTTGCTCTATCTATCTATCACTCTCTCTCTCTCTCTCTCTGCCCTGCAGAGATAGGACCGGCCTGAGCGCTGCACACACACACACACACACACACACACACACGCGTTTCGTACACTTTCCTCAAGGTCTAGCATGGAGTACTTCATGTGCAGCTGAGTACAAACAACGAAAAACTTTTCAGAATGAGTTGTAGGTGAGAATATTTTCTACTGCTCAGTGTAGTATAGTAGAGTATTACAAGCTCCATGCAGGTACATTAAGTGTCAAGTCAAAATAAATAAACAAATGAATGTAAGTAGTTTTAAAGAATTCAATAATGAAATGAAGCAATGCAAAATTGAAATATTAATACATACATTTAATGAACAAACATACATTTTTTGTATTTAAAAAAAGATTCACAAAAAATGCTTTTGTGTGTTTCAGTGGACTTTCAGTGGATGATTTGCGTCTCATTATTCTATTGGTGTGGTTAAGAATAAGTTGGGAGACTTTAAGTATTAATTGTAATTATAGCGGCTGTCATACACGTACGCTCAGATCCCGGTACCTGAAGGTGACACTGAAACTGTACCTGTAATAAAAAACTAAAATAACTCAAATTATGAACACAGCTCTGTTTAACACCTCAGCCAACGTTTTATGTTATACTCTTGTAATTGCTGAATGATTCATGTATTTTATAACTTCCTTATAGTGCTGCTCCTTTTGACTCTCACTTTTATTGCCCGTGTATTACCCGTTGTTAGAGTTTTATTGGTGGTATTATTGTGATGTGACATCTTTGTGCCGTGGTGCCCATATGGCGTTGGCACACCACCAGGCTTTGTGTGTGTGTGTTGCCAGGGGCGACGGAGGGCAATAGGAAGGAGGGACGGATGAGTTTGAAGCGTGCAGGCCTCCAGCTTTCTTCATCTTTTCATCCCTGAATCCCAGTGTGTGTGTGTGTGTGTGTGTGTGTGTGTTGGGGGGAAGGCCTCCAGATGAAGGTACTGGAAGGTGCCAAGTGGGTCATCTGCCTTCTTATTTCTTTGTGTGTGTGTGTGTGTGTGTGTGTGTGTGTGTGTGTGTTCGTAATGAGAGCAGCAGGAGTGTTACGCGATCATATCAACTTAATCCCCGAATCCTTACGTCTAATATCAGCTCTCCTGAAACTGTGAGGAAAGTGTGAATAGGAAATGTGTGTCAGTGCCAAGGTGTGCACTCGAGACATGTGTCTGTGTGAGTGAGTGTGTGTGTGTGTCTGCAGCGGATGAGCTTGTTACAAATGTCTATAAACATCAAAGGGGTTCAGAAACACACAGGGCGAGACCTGCAGCTATCAACGGGCCTCATGTGCTACATGAGCATGTACAGTGTGCCGTCCATAGAGCGGTTAATGTTAAAACAAGGAAGAACACCCAACCCTCCGAATTGACTCCAGGGGACTCGGGTCCACCGTGTTCTGAAGCTCAATAGGAAAAAGGGCAAAGAGTTGCTGGTGGTGCTGGTGGGTCCGGTACACAAGCTGCTACATGATGAGGCGTCCGTCTGCTTTGTGCTCTGGATCTACACGACACACAAAGGGTCCAGCGGAATATATACTCAGGGTCCCCGAACTCCGGGCGATCTACACTCCCTCTTCGACGGGCAGAGAGTTTCCTCTCCCGCAGGAAGCGCGCCGAAAGAAAGACAGAGAAACATTATATGGTGGAGGGGAGCACCAGTAAAAGCAGAGGAAGGGGACGAGGAATGATTGAGGAGAAGTCAGAACGCAGTCGGAGGAAATATACTGAAGCGACCAATTACATTTAGTACACGGCGCTACGCTAACCTATACTCCCCCCCCCCCACCCCCGTCCCCTCCCTCTCTCTTTGTGTGCTGCTTTAATAGGATATTGATCGACAGAGAGAGATTCGATTGGCCTGCCAGTGAATTGTGTAATGGCTGCACAACGCCAAGGTCACCCGCTGTGTGTGTGTTTGTACGTGTGTGCCGCGTTCAACGCCCCTAACCTCCAACCCCTCCTCCACCCTTCCCCCCGACCACTTCTTCTGGTAAGCTATGGGCTTCAGACCCCAGTGTGTGTGTGTGTGTGTGTGCGCGTTCATTTACTCTATAAAACACCCAACACGTGTGGCAAACGTGTCGCCGGTGTAGTACATATTCATTCAGGGTTTGTATACTGATGCACGGGTGGAGGAGGGAGGCGGGTGGAGGAGGGAGTACTCGTGCTGCCCTCTTGTTCACCTGGGAAAGCCGTAGATTGGGAGGCGGGAATGACTGAAAACATCTCAGGTTTTGCTTCAACTAGAAACAGCGCAGTGTGTAGGACTGATTTAATGAGCCACATAAGAAGGAACGTTATTACAGCGCCACCTTGAGGTCTGGCTCGAGGGGTTGGTCCAACCTTTAGAATCACAAATTCAACACTCTGAATTTCAGATTCTAAATGTTCCCACCACAAACGTAAAAGCTTCATCTTGTCTTTTTCTTAAGAATCCGGACAAATACCAAGTATAGTACTATTGTGTAGAAGTATCATCGGAAAGTGTGCAATATGCAGAATGGCTGTGTTGCAGTTTGTCAATGAGAAGGTTTATTAGTAGAGCGGAGTCTGCAGAGTGGACATAAAATAGAGTAGAGCATGATAGGGAACTACTTAAGGAAAGTGTCTACTTGTCAAAGTCGAACCTCATGTAGATGTACTAAGTAACGTTCCACCACTGTTACCTCACACAGCACCTGCATTCACCACGCAAGAATCACCATCCATCCATCTGCCAACCGCGTATCCTGCACACAGAGTCACAGGGCGGCTGGAGTCCATCCCAGCCAACTTCAGGCGATAGACGGGTTCACCCTGGATTGGTCACCAGATATTCACACTCACACTCACACACCTACGGGCAATTTAGAGTCACCAATCCACCTGATCCCCAGAGCACGTCTTTGGACTGTGGGAGGAAGCCGGAGAACCCGGAGAGAACCCACGCAGACACGGGGAGACACGGGGAGACCATGCAGACTCCACACACAAAGGCCACTGGGCGGAGTCAAACCCAGGACCTTCTTGCTGTGAGGCAACGGTGCTAACCAGCACGCCACCGTGCCGCAGGGATCACGCGATCACAAATCCCATGCAAGTATCCACCGTGTCAGCCTTCAAGCGATGTGAAGAAAGAGCAGGGACCAATCAGGGGCCTGGGAGGAGCCACTGTCAACAGTGGGCGGGGCTTCGGCTTGTTTGATGCGACACAAAGAGGCAACTATTCAAACAAGACTTTGTTAGCATAGATGCTACAATCCGTCTGGTGGGTCAGGTGATGACGTCACAGACGTCAAGTGTGATGACGTGCTGGTTTTTGAATTATTTGCGTTACTTTTGGCTGTTTGGATTGTTTAAACTGTTATCCGTTATTAGTGTCTGAGTGTGTTTCCACACACATATTCATCTTCTGTATTTATCATTAAATTGTATAAATAAATAGTGTTAGAGTTAATGTCGTTGACTGACTTACATGTACACACACACATACATTAGCTTGTCACACACACACACAAACTGGACTCTCCTGCACTCTAATCTATAAGTGATTCTCCCAGAGCCGCATCGCTGCAAATCTGCTGACCAACACAATACATGGACACACACACACACACTAGAGAAAGGTTGTGTGCATCTTTGAATACATTTGTGTCCGCCTGAATGTGTATGTGTGTGTGTGTGTGTGTGTGTGTGTGTGTGTGAGTATACCAACATAACCCATAGAGTGTGTGTGTGCATGTTGCACCAACATGAAAGCAGCGAGGACTTTTCATACTTTACATTTTACTTGCTTGTATGAATTGTTTTACATTCCAGGTGCACTGAATAATTCTCCAACTACGTGATGGCCAGAGAATATATTTCTATATCTATCATGAGAAGTGTCCCATCTCAGTCATGGCTTCTTTTCTTTCATTCAAAATAGAGCTGCTCACTTGAAGAATAAAAAAAAGAGAAACTGAGCCGAGAGCCGTCATACCTTTCAAACTGAAAGTAAGCAGTACTTTAGGCCACTGTATCATACTGTGACACTAAAAGGGTAAAAAGAAACATAAATGTTCTGGAGAGTCACTCTGAATCTTCTGCTCAGTGTGTGATGGTACTGAGTGGATTCCAGAGGAGAATCACGCAGTACTTATAAGTGCTGTGGAATTATTTGACTCAAAAAACTGCAGCTCGCATAGAATTTTTCAACCGCATGTAAAATCGAATATTCTTTCTTTGTTGTATACTTCTTTGCATCCTTTTACAAAAACATAATTTCCCATAAGTCCGTTGACCAGGCCACACTGTGTGATAATGGCAGGACAGAGAGGACCAAATACTGTCAATGCTTTTAGACAGCAGACACGCAGGCAAGTCAAAAGGTCCCAGGGAAACACTAGTAAGGTTAAAATCCAGTGATGTAATGGAGCAAATTATCTGAGGATAAAAAACAAATGTAATGTAAAAGCAGGATTTTGGATGTATCGCCTGTTTTTTAATCAGTGAAGTGACTAGAGACTATTCATGGCGGATGGATGGAGTCCAAGTAAAAAAAGTGGCATGAAAACAAAACAAGTCAAGGCAAAGAGTGTGAACAAATGTTCTCTGGTGCCCGACATGTGGACGCCACTGCGGACAAACAGGAACAAACACACACCAATGGCAGGACGTGTGTGTGTAATTAAGTGACTATGTGAGGTTTTGCATGCGCAGTGGCGTGAATCTGATCAGGCTGGGATCAGTGTGTGTGTGTGTGTGTGTGTGATCGATGGCTCTTTGATCAGGGGTCTCTGTGTGTGCTGACAGGCACTTTACATCGGCCTTTTGTTAGCGGTGGGCGATCGACAGTCTCATATGGATCCCACTGCGCTCTCTCTCTCTACTGCAAATCGGCACTTTTAAAGGTCACGTTTGTCCCTCATTCTCTCTCTCTCTCTCTCTCTCTCTCTCTCTCTCTCTCTCGCACTCTCTCGCACGTCCACACCTCCCTGTCCCTCTCCCCCTTCCTGTCTCCTTCACTTTGCAGTCTCCTTCCCCCCCATAGTTCCTCGTCATAGAAGTTGTGAGAGATCGAGAGCGCTCGCCGCAGAGTGATGACAAAACGTGTTGAATAACGTGGCGTTTTGTCCCAATTGACACTGCTCCCGTACACGCTTACACACACACACACACACACACACACACACACACACACACACCTGCTTTACAGAGAAAGTTCTGTAAAAGAAGAAACGCAGCGTGTTCCTGTGGAGGTGCAGGCGTGTTAAGGTCTCAGGACAGCAGGTAAACTACACCTGAACAACATGTGAGAAAGTAACCCATCACCACACAACCGCCTTCCAGTGGTTTGTCCCTGTTTTGGATGATATCAAGCGCTCCCTCCAAAGCGGTTTCAATGCTGACATCCATGTAAAAAACAACTGATTGTTTTGGTTTTAAATCATCTTCTTTCTTCCCGGGGATTGACCAAATGCACAAAACTAAATCCTTTGTTGGCTGAGGCAGAATGAGCATATTATTATACGTCCCTTTATATTACTTTTCTTTATTTTATTTCATATTATTGAAAGCATGTTTGCTTGTATGTTTTTAATCTGTTTCTGCTTTGGGGGTTTGCTATTGAAGCAAACGGTTGCTATGGTGATCTGCTGGTTAACACAGCATGAACGCTGATTTAGAAACATGTTCAGGTTGTTCCCTGTTAAATGAACACCAGCCAGCCAATCAGAACTCTGGATTGTGGCCATAAAGTATACGTAACTACAAGTACAGTTATAGTTCCGTGTGAGAGCGGATCCTCTCACAACGTTCCCACAGGACTGATAAACATTTTACTCGCTCTTCATTGCTTCTCCTTATATGTGATATGTTTACTTTACAGAGGAAAAAATGGACATTCTACTCTTTTCTAAAGTATTCTTCTTGGCCGTGAGTGTGTGTGCGTGTTTTTTGTGCGTTCATTTAGCCGAGTTCGGAGGAATCACATTAGAACCACTATCGATGACAGATCTGCTGTCCAATCACTGCTCCATCACAGAGAGAGCGAGGAACTTACTCTGAGAGACTCGTACAAGCTCAGCCACCGTGAAGACGCCGGGTGTCACAAAGCTGTCCTGAAAACCCAGATGGCCTGACAGAGAGAGACAGAGAGCTCAGTATTACATCTGTATCTATTATACTGATTACATCATCACACTGTAAAACTAGCATTTTACAGCGGAAAACGCAGTATTAGTAGCAGTAGTAATGGTAGCAGAGCATCACTCGTAGGTTGAGGTAGTGGTTAAGTTATTATTAAGTACCACTAACTGTGATAGAACGAATTGCACCAGTAGGACTAGTAGCCTACGAGTAGCATTTATAGTAGTACTACAGTAATTGCAGTAGCATTGATTCTAGTAGGAGCATTACACAGTAGATATAGCACTCATAGTACAGTAATAACAGTAGCAGTAGCATTACTAGTTGTAGTAGTAGTTGTAACAGTGGTATCCTATCAAGTGATCGTTGTAGATTAAGTGGTAACAGAACTAGTATCCTCTCATAATCAGTGGTAATAATACGAGTTGTAAAGCAGTACTATCTGTAGTAGTAGCAGCCTGCGAGTAGCATTAACAGTGGTAATAGAAGTATTGTCAGCTTTTGTGTTACTATCATTATCAACAGTAGGAGTTTCCCCAGCAACAGGAGTACAACTGGTGGTAGTAGTGTCAGTATTAACAGTACCAGAAGTACTCTCAGTAAGTAAGTACATAACTGATACATAACGGAGTTTCTGTTTCTTAACATGGATAATTACTACCAGCTGAGTGTGTGTGTGTGTGTGTGTGTGCCTGTGTGTATTTGTGTGTACTGGAAAGGAGCTGAACCTCTGGGTGGGTCAAGGTCTAACAAAAACACAAACCGGAGAGGATATCCTCTGCATGCACACACACACGCACACACATCCAGTACGCTGACATCCATCAACACAGACAGAAAAAAACACTGCTCTCATTCAGTGTGTGTGTGTGTGTGTGTGTGTGTGTGTGTGTGTGTGTGTGTGTGTGTGTGAGAGAACATAAAACCACCGCCTCAATTTGTCTGACCAGCAGGGTCAAACGAGGGTCAACCTGTGTGTGTGTGTGTGTGTGAGAATATACAGTACAACATGTATAGGAGCATAGGTAGGCGTGCGTGTGTGTGTGTGTGTGTGTGTGTGTGTGTGTGTGTGTGTGTGTGTGTGTGTGTGTGTGTGTGTGTGTGTGTGTGTGTGTGTGTGTGTGTGTGAACTAGGTCTCACCGTTCTCTGGCTGCTCCTTGATATCTGAATCACTGGCCTGGTTGGGGCTTTCTGATTGGCCGGTTTCTGGAGGGAAAAGACAGATGAAGACTGATGAGGACGAGTCCAACTACTGATTACAACATGTTATGTCCACACACACAACAGTGCCGCCTCCCAATTGGACGGTAAGCTCTCCAACAAGAAAAATACATTATTTAAACTGCTGACGGATGATATGGAGATACTTTCTCTGTTTTAGTGTTTCACACTGTGAACACAATGTGTCATTCTGTTGGATGACATGATTGTTTCTGCCGTGTGCAAAAGACACCGTGAGCCAAATATTACTTACGTCGTACTTTAACAAAACAAAAATATTTTTCGCTCGCTAACAACAGCAGTAAAGCGGTTAGCAAGACTAAGACACGTTTTTATTTACGCCTCTTTTGGACCATTCATCTGTTGTCTTGTATATATTTTGTGCTTTGTCCCATATCGGTTATTGTTGACAAATATATTTGTGTGTGTTGTACTTTTTAATGCTGTCATATACGGTAGTCCAGTGCGCTTGCTTGCGTATTGTGGGTTCTACGGTAGTTGATGTTATGCCTGTAAAGGGAGACGCGGTGATCCTTTAAATCAACTAAGAAGCATCTAATGCATTTATTTACAAATGCCATTTTAAATTCATCTCATAGCACTTGTTTTTTAGCTGTATACATTTATTTAGCTCGCACTACAATGATGGAAATAATTTAATGAATAAGCTTGTAAACACATTGAGGACAAAGGAGTCAACTTGATGCGGGACACCATGAGCTGTGAATATTCATAACTTATGTTTACCATACGATAAGCCGACAAACTAGTCGGGGGTTAATGCATCTTTGTGTTTGTTGGGAAAATAAGTGAGCACAAAACTGTTGCAAAATGCCACAAAAATGCAACAAAAAGCAGCGCCGTGCTGTTCCTGACAGCCAGCTCATCGTTACAGTGACGGAAGCAGCCGTTCAAAACATTCAAACGACGATAACTCGCAGGAGAGACTTTGAGCAGGCGTTTCTTCCAACAAGGTTCCCAATTTGGGCCGATACCAAAACCACGTCAGCGCTTGGTTACATTGATCAATCCAATTTCTGAAAACTTTTTGCGGTATGGCCCCGCTCGTCTACACACAGACACACAAAGACGCACACACACACAGTGAGACAAAGTGCTGCATTTATCAGCCTTGCTTTGCATGCTGTTCACTGTGTCTGTTTGCTCCAGCAGCCTAAAACAAAGAGCATCAGGCCTGAAACCACGGCAACCAGGGGGGAGGAGGGGTGCCGCCGATGGGTGTGTGTGGGAGGGCACTTTCACACACTGGTGCCCTAACCCGTCAAGCACCCCCCCCCCCCACCCCCCTCCCGTCCAGGTTAATTAAATATGCTAATGAGCCGTGGGAGCAGACCGGACCGTCTGCATCCGCCCCCCCCCGGAGGGGAGGGGGTCTAAATACAGACAGCAAAATAAAATACCAGTGTGCACAGCGAGGGGAGTGCTGCTGAGATGATGGAGAAGCAAAACACCAGGTCTCACAAACAGATTCATGTCTTGAAAGCCTTTATTTTGAAAGGTTGAGTCTCCTCTTTTCTTGGCAGTCCACTACTTTTATGGTTACAAATGTTTTCAAAGGGAAAACCTTAAAACGTAAGCTCTTTTCTCTTTCTAGTCTTTTGTTGTTTCCAGCCTTTCTTTTTCTCATCACATGCAGATACATACGTGTTCTCTGTAAAAGTGTTTTTGACCCCCCCCCCCTCTCAGGCTCCAAAGTAAAAGCCTTTATTTAGGAACAAAAGCTGCTACCGTGCGTTCTTTTATTTTCAACAAGTGGTGTTGAGTTGTTCCCCTCCGTCTCTCTTTTCTCTTTTTTCCTCTTTCCTCCTCGTCTTGTTCAGATCGACTGAGTGTAGTGGACCGTGGAAACAAATAAAACAACACCATACACAAACACGCTTTAAAATTTAAAATTGGAAGTAAAACGACATGAACGCTTTTGTCTCTGCATTTGTTGGGCCCTCGTTCTACCTTCTGCTGTCCTCTCCCATGTGATCGGTACAGCAGACAGATACACACAGACACGCGCACACACACACACACACACACACACACACACACACACACACACACATTATAGAGCACTTAGAAGAAAACAATGAACCAAGAAAAGAGAGGGAGAGAGAGGGCAGAGGTCTCTCTCTCCCTCTCTGTGGGAAAGTTAAACTCTGTGACCCCGGAGGTCGCTCGCCCGTCTCACTTTCTCTCTCTGACATGAACTGCCCCTTTCCAAAGAGGAGGGGAGGGGGGGGGGGGGGGCTGCAGGAAGATTCCCACACAGTAGACAGAGAAAAGGCCGTTTGATCATAACAAGGAATTACACATATATACCATATATATTTTGGTACCTTTTAAAGTTGGAAGCAAAGTATTCTAGTAATGTACAAGTACATGAAAACTAAGTAGAAGGTTCAGTTAAACGCCACAGTGTTACTGGAGGAAAAAACTCTCTCTCTCTCTCTGGCCGACAGAGGAGGTGACCCCTGACCTGGGCGACAGACATGCTTAAAAATAAAGAAGCGGTTAGAGGGCACATATCAAACATCCCCCGCCAGGGACATGAACGTGTTTATGTGCAGGATTCTGATAGAAGCTGTTTGATCAGAAAGTGACGGAGAGTTTTCCCGCCCGCCTGGGGGCCGAAAAAGACCCTGGTCCTCAATATCGATCCAAGCCCTGATTTAGTTAATGAAATGAGCAGATGTACGCATTCATATTTTATACAGACCACAAATCAGCTGCCTCTCAAGTCCATACGCAGAATTAAGCCCCTCCCACCACAGACAGCGTCCGCATGGAGATTGATGACATTTCATGAGTGTTGTGTGTTTGTCTCCAGACAAATAAGATAATCCCATTTGTTAGGATGCGTAGAAGGAATCGTGCTTGGTAAAAACACCTGGGCAGCACGGAGGGTTAGCTGCTGTTAGATTTACAGAACTACAATATGATGAATTTCAATCCTCTGCTGAGGAGAAAAATAACGCTATTATGTTACTTTATTTGACGCACTGCACCAGCTGTAAAAAATAACCAAATTTTGGATTGTTGAAGCATTTTGTAGTCCGGTTCATTAGGGGATGACGAGTTGAAATAAACCCACGGGGCATAAATCTCCTGTTCCACATCCCTTCAAGCTGAGTGATTTATTGCATCTCCATGATCTGCAGTTTACCTTTACATGATGTAATCATTTAATAACTTTACCTTTACATCATGTAATCATTTAATAACTTTACCTTTACATGATGTAATCATTTAATAACGTTACCTTTACATCATGTAATCATTTAATAACTTTACATGATGTAATCATTTAATAACTTTACCTTTACATGATGTAAACATTTAATAACTTTACCTTTACATCATGTAAACATTTAATGACTTTACCTTTACATGATGTAATCATTTAATAACTTTACCTTTACATCATGTAAACATTTAATAACTTTACCTTTACATCATGTAAACATTTAATAACTTTACCTTTACATCATGTAATCATTTAATAACTTTACCTTTACATGATGTAATCATTTAATAACTTTACCTTTACATGATGTAATCACTTAATAACTTTACCTTTACATGATTTAATCATTTAATAACTTTACATGATGTAATCATTTAATAACTTTACCTTTACATGATTTAATCATTTAATAACTTTACATGATGTAATCATTTAATAACTTTACCTTTACATCATGTAATCATTTAATAACTTTACATCATGTAATCATTTAATAACTTTACCTTTACATGATGTAATCATTTAATAACTTTACATCATGTAATCATTTAATAACTTTACTTTTACATGATGTAATCATTTAATAACTTTACCTTTACATGATGTAAACATTTAATAACTTTATCTTTACATGATGTAATCATTTAATAACTTTAACTTTACATGATGTAATCATTTAATAACTTTACCTCATGTAATCATTTAATAACTTTACCTTTACATCATGTAATCATTTAATAACTTTACCTTTACATGATGTAAACATTTAATAACTTTAACTTTACATGATGTAATCATTTAATAACTTTACCTCTACATCATGTAATCATTTAATAACTTTACATCATGTAATCATTTAATAACTTTACCTTTACATCATGTAATCATTTAATAACTTTACCTTTACATGATGTAAACATTTAAAAACGTTATCTTTACATGATGTAATCATTTAATAACTTTAACTTTACATGATTTAATCATTTAATAACTTTACCTTTACATCGTATAATAATTTAATAACTTATTGTAATAATTTTTTCATAAATAACTTTTTTTACACCCCTGCATATTATCTAACAACCTCACATTGGTTGATTAGATAAACTGTTTTAATTTAAAACCAAGATAGACTAAATAGAATTGAAAGGATATATTATGGATATATATGATTTTTCACTTGGTCAGGAATTGACGTGTCAGACACAAGCAACACATTTGAACAGCAGAAAATGAAATGTGCAGAATAAGGCCGATGATGGTTCTGTGAGGACGGCCAGCAGCAGGGGGGGGTGTTTGTTTTGGGTTTCCAGGCAGCGCCGGGGTTAGACCCCGGCTCAGAATCATGAACCCTGGCACGTCTGCACGGCCGGATCTGCCAGCCAAACACTCACACACACACACACACACACACACACACACACACACGCACAGAGTATGACCGTTTTCCCTTCCGCTGGTACAAATATTTCCCCCCAATTGACTGGGCATCCCTGGCTTCCATTTTGATGCCGCCCACCAGTCGCCATTTTGTAGAAGCCCCTCAACAATCGCCACGTGACCTCAACAAACAACACACACGCGCACAGCGGCCAAGTCGCGGCGAACGCCGCCGTCTCCAAAAACGGGATGTGCGTTTTGTGTGTTTCTTTGTTTTATTCGTGTCCCGTTAATTATATAATGAAAGCGCACAAACACACGTGGCAGACGAGGCTTTGTGTCGGCCAGG